GTGTAACCTTGCTCTTATGAAAGACAAGGTGAAGTATTACAAGATGAATATTGTGATGCCTGTTACTATCAAAGCTTTTTAAAAAGATAAATAAGGGCCCTAGCTGGTTTGGCTCAGCCTGCGGACAGAGGGGTCCCAGATTCGATTCCAGCCAAGGGCACATGCCCGGGTTTCGGGCTTGATCCCCAATAAGGGGTATGCAGGAGGCAACTGATCAATGATTCTCTCTCAACATTGGTGTTTCTATCTCCCTCTCCCTCTCCCTTCCTCTCTAAAATCAATATATATACATATATATATATATATATATATATATATATATATATATATATAATTTTTTTTTTTTTTTTAAGATATATAAAGAGCCCTCATACCAGTTCGATTCCTGGTCAGGGGCACATGCCCAATTGCAGACTCAATCCCCAACCCCCAGTGTGGGACGTCAGGAGGGGCCAATCAATGATTCTCTCTCATTATTGATGCTTCTATCTCACTCTCACTCTCTCTTCCTCTTAAAAATCAATTAAAAAAAAAAAAAAGTTGAGGGGAAAAGCTCTTGTTTGCTATCATTCAAGAGTTCTTAGCCTTCTAAACCTGCATGGAGAGACTTGGAGAAGAAAACTCTCATTGGGCACTCCGTATGCACAACATGCTTTTTTATTTCTATTATTATTTATTGACTTTAGTGAGTGAGAGGAAAGGAAAAGGAGGGAAACACTCATTTGTTGTTCCAATTATAAATGCATTCATTGGTTGAAATTTTTTTTTTATTAATCCTCACCCAAGGATATTTTTCCATTGATTTTTAGAAGAGTAGAAGAGAGAGGGAAAGACAGAGAGAACATCGATGTGAGAGAAACACATCGACTGATTGCCTCCTGCAACCAAGGTACACGCCCTTGACCGGAAATGAACTCTCGACCCTTTGGTCCGCAGGCCGATGCTCTATCCATTGAGCTAAACCAGCTTGGGCCATTGGTTGAATCTTGTATGTAGCCTGGCCAAGAGATCAAAACCGTTAACCTGCCGAAGCCGGTTTGGCTCAGCGGTAGAGCGTCGGTCTGCAGACTGAAGGGTCCCAGGTTCGATTCCGGGCAAGGGCATGTACGTTGGTTGCGGGCACATTCCCAGTAGGGGGTGTGCAGGAGGCAGCTGATGTTTCTCTCTCATCGATGTTTCTAGCTCTCTATCTCTCTCCCTTCCTCTCTGTAAAAAAATCAATAAAAAAAAAAATATATATATATATATATATTTTTTTTTTTTTTTAAACCGTTAACCTTAACGTATCCGGATGATGCTCTACACAGTGGTTGCCAACCTTTCAGATTCACGACCGCTGCTACAAAGGTTTCTTTAAACCGTCGGTTGCCAGCCTCTCAGACGTCTCGGACCACCAGTTGGCAACCACTGCTCTAACTAACCGAGCCGCCTGGCCAGGCCACAACATGCTCTTTGCCGCTGTGATTCCAGGGTGACTGCCATTACTCTTTCACGGAGGAGAAAACGGATGCTCAGAGAGGCGGAGGGACAAGCCCGGCAGTGAGACAGCCCTAGGGTTCACACCGCTGTGACAGACACAGGCCCTGCTATTCCACTCCAGGTCTTCCCCGGGCTCATCTCCTTTCCCTGATTCTGTGTTTTTTCAATCCAAAATTTACTACGTCCAGTGAGCCACAAAATTCGAAATTTATGCTCTGTAATGCTACTCAACATTCAATAACCTTCAGATTGAACTAACCTCTCTCTCCACTGAAGACTGAAAAGCTGGTGGGAAAGGATGGAAACAGGGAAAGAACTTCCTCTTCTTTTGGGCCACGGCATGTGACAGGCAGAGACTAGACGGGACTTTGATCAGAGATCAGACAGTAACATGGGGAAAACAGAACAAGGAAATGAAGCAATAAATGCAATCCCAACAGACTATCTTGGAGACAGGCTAAAATGACTATGCTATTATGAAAAAGCAAGTTTGTCACTGAAATCTAAGTCACAAAGATAAGCATTTGGAGTGTGGCTTTAAATTCCAAGGAAATTACTTCAGAATAAATAAAAGAACTATAGTGGACAACATGAAAAATCACACCCTAAAAGACATGATAATAGGACTTGAGGAAAACTTTAGATCACTTGTGAATGAAAATGCAGTTTATTGAATGGAAAATAATAGATAAGACACTAGGTCAGGCAGTGTTATAAAATAACTTACTTAATCCTCAAGGCCAACCCATGCCATAGGCACTAGTTCATTCCCATTTTACAGATGGAGGATCTAAGGCCAGAAAAATTAAGTAAATTATCTGAGATCACCCAGCTGCTAATAGTGGAGCTAAGATTCTAAGCCAGTGGGGACGGCTTCAGAGCTCTTACTTTTAACCGCTGCTTTACATTGCCTGTTCAGGAAGAAATAGTCAGTCCTTCACTCTTCTTTCTAAATGAGATGCTGATTCCACAAAGACAAGTAACCAGTTTTCTATGAGACAAAACACTGGCTCCGCCCACAGGAGTAATGCACTCTGCCCGCGCACAGAGCCAGTCTGGGGGGACTCCCCACACAGTTCTTTCAATCGCACTCTGCTTTGACTAGAGAAAAAGAAAACAGGTTGATCAGGACTTTAAAAACAAAATGGCGTCTGCAGCCTGGTCACTCCGTGGGCGTTGTCCCGTGCACCAAAGACTTGCTGGTTTGGTTCCCATCAGGGCTTTTGCCCAGAGTGAAGGCTTGGCCCCAGGTCATTAAGGAGGCAACTGACTGATGGTATGCTCTCACATCGATGTTTCTCTCTTCTCCCTTCCTCTCTCTCTAAAAATCAATAAATGGTAAAAAAAAAAAAAAAAAAAAAAAAAAAAAAGGGGGTTGGTTCGCTTAAAAAGTGTGCTTTTGCAGCTTATCGTTGGTGAGAGAATTTGGCACGAAGAGTTCAAGTTTCTCTCCAGGCTGCCAGCACATTCTGATGCAACCCCAACTCTAGCGACTTTGGAAAAGAGGGCAAAGGAGAAGCAGAGCTGAAAACCAAACAAGCCAGGCCATGTGCCCTCACAGGACCTTGGCCTTCCCACGTGGACAGAGGGAGCAATTTCCCAAAACCAAGAAACCCTGGGCCCTATAATGGCTCCACGTGGCAAGAGTTTCAGTCATGCTGAAACCGGATTGGCTCAGTGGATAGAGCATCAGCCTGCGGACTGAAGGGTCCCAGGCTCGATTCTGGTCAAGGGCATGTACTTTGGTTGAGGGCACATCCTCAGTAGCGGGTGTGCAAGAGGCAGCTGATCGATGACTCTCTCTCATCGATGTTTCTAACTCTCTATCCCTCTCTCTTCCTCTCTGTGAAAAATCAATAAAATATATTAAAAAAAAAAAAAAAAGTTTTTCAGTTATGCCGAAACCGGGTTGGCTCAGTGGATAGAGCGTCAGCCTGCGGATTGAAGGGTCCCGGGCTCGATTCCGGTCAAGGGCATGTACCTTGATTGCGGGCACATCTCCAGTGGGGGGTGTGCAGGAGGCAGCTGATCGATGTATCTCTCTCATCGATGTTTCTAACTATCTCTCTCCCTTCTTCTCTGTAAAAAAAATCAATAAAATATACATAAAATAAAAAGGAGTTTCAGTCATGTTCACAGCACTCGGAAACAGATGTTCAGGGCTGAAGGTACCCTTCCATGCCAGCCTGTGGGCACCCCTAACATGAAACAGTTCCGAGAAGGCCAGGTTCCGGGGAGCCTGGGCAGTTCAGTGAGCTGGATGGGGTAAGGCAAGAAAGAAGGGCCCTTCTCTCAGGGCACGCCTCACACTTCCAGGATTTTCTGACCGTGAGAAAAACAGAACCAGCCTTCCTTACTTCCCATGTTTTACCATCCAGACAGCGCTCTGACCACTCACTCCTCTCACCGAAGCGGGTCTGGGGCACCCTCAACTCCTCTAGGTGCAACTCCTATAGTCAACTTCCGGCGAAGAATCAAACTAAGAAACCCAGGGGTGTCGTTCTGCCTAGGAAGGAGGCGGGGTACCAGCAGGCTGCAGGGGAGTCCACAGGTGTTGGGAGGTGAGAGAGGAGTGAGGTCCGGGCTGAAACCGTCTCCTTCTTCCTCTAATTCCAACCACGCTCAGGCCGGGCTGCTGGCGGGGGGCGCGCCTGGCTGCGTCCGGGCTCCATCAGGCAGGCGACAAGGTCCCGTTACTGACCCTGAGGCTCCACTTCTGCAAGATGGTGGCGGGCGGCCTGAACTTCATAGGGTTCTCATGAGCATCAGTAGATCAGCAGCGTCATCTGAGCTCGGCGTGCACCCCGCGCCGGGAAGGCGCCGCTTACCCTGTCCCGGCCGCTCCCCCCGGACTGCCGACCCCGGCGGAGGCCGCATCGCCCCGCTTCCGACAGCGACCCCGGCATGGGCACCGGCCCTCGGGGTCCCCTCCCGGGGGCCGTGTGGCCGGTCCCGTGGCCCAACAGCCAGCCCGGAGCTCTGGGGGGAGAAACCAAAACTCCGGGAAGCGCGGCGGCGTCTGTTGTTGACATGGCGTCACCCCCTTCCCACCAACGCACCGACCGGTCCGACGCCCCGACGTGGCGAGGGGAGCGCAAAGGTGGCTTCGACGAAGCGCCGGCCGCGGGCCGCCCGGAGGCTGGGGCGGGGGTGCGAGCCCTGAGGGCGGCAGGCGGCTCCCCGGGGACCAGCCAGGACCCCGCGCCTCTCCCTCCTCCGGCGGGAGTCCCGCCGCCCAGGGGCCGCCACCGGCCCGCCAGGCGCCAGCGAGACCCCGGGGGCCGGCAGGCGGGGTGGCACCTGCGGGCGCCCCGAGCCCGGCTCGGGAAGGTGGTCACAGAGGGGTCACGGGGGAGGGGCCGGGCGCCGAGGACCCGGGCAGGTCGGGGAGGAGGGGGCCAGCGAGGCCTGGCCCCCGGTTTCCGAAGCGCGGGGTCCCCACCCGACTCCCAGCCGCACACCGAGCGCCCCCCTCCAGCGGGGCCCCCGCCACCACGGCCGGGCAGTCCCACTCCCCTCACCTGGCTCGGCTGCTCTGCCTGCTCCGAGGACGCCATCTTGCTGAGGCCTGACTAATCGATCGCCGCGGGGCGAGGCTTCTCCCAGGCGCCCTCGCTCTCGCTCTCCCGCCCAGACCAAAGCAGCCGAACCGAGCTTATCGATGGTGGCCACCGGGAAGGAAGGGGGACTCCCACGTCGAATCACCTCGCACAATTTTCGTCATGTTTCTGCTTTCCAGAAAGATCCGACGTCTGTCCTTTTTTTTTTTTTAAGATTTTTTTAAATATATTTTATTGATTTATTACACAGAGGAAGGGAGAGGGATAGAGAGCTAGAAACATCTATTGGGGATGTGCCTGCAACCAACGTATAATAAGTATTTAATAAATGAATGAATGAGAAGAAACTTGGAAATTAATGGGTCAGTTCAGTGCCATTTGTTGAGTGCCTGCTTTTGCCAGGCACTTTGGTAGGCACTAGAAATAAAAAGATCCAAGACTCAACCCTACTCCCAAGTACAGGCCAAGCACACACACGCGCACACACACACACACACACACACACACACACATTACAGCATCTTGGAGGTGCGAGTCTGATGACATTGTGCAGATCTATTAGGACATCTATTAGGCTTCTTGGAGAGGAGAGTGTAAATGTAAAATTTACCCGAAATAGTGGCAGACATTGGAATTATCAGTTCATGTAGCTGTGCTTTATGTGTCCTGACATACTCCAATGCATTGCCTCGTCATCCCGAACACTAAATGGTTGAGGTTTTGATTCGGTCAGGGCACATTCCTGGTTTTCAGGTTTGATTCCTGGTCCAGGCGCCTATGGGAGGCAACCGATAGATATGAGCCTCTCTTTCTCCCTCTCTCTTTCTCCCTCTCTCTTTCTCTCTCTCTCTCCTCTTTTCTCTCTACTCTTTTCTCTTTTCTCTTTTTCTCTCTCTGAAAAAAATCAATGAAAACATCCTCAGGTGAGGGGTTTTTTTAAAGTGTAGTCTCAATTGACAGTTCCTTCTAACAAACACTTTTAAATAGCTAACCTTATTAGATAATATCTCATTTTCCTTTCATAAACAAAATGTGAGACTGACCCAGAATAAATGGGCTGATAAGTACTTCTTGTTTACATAAAAGGACCCCTTTGTTGTTGTAGTTGTTAATCCTCACTTTTTTCTATTGATCTTTTCTAGAGAGTGGAAGGGAGGGAGAGGGGCAACGAGAGGAGGAACGAGAGGAGGAACGGGGAGAAAAACATCACTGTGAGAGAGACACATCATTGGTTACCTCCAGCACGCCCACTGATGCCAGAGATTGAATGCAACCTAGGTACATGCCCTGTTTCGGGAATGGAACCCGTGACCCTTCGGTGCACAGGCCAACATTCTAACCACTGAGAAACACCGGCCAGGGCTAAAAGGACCCCTTTTAAGCAAGGAACAGTTTTTGATAAATCTTTATTATTTCAATCTTAAAGATTATGTTTTGGTGGGGGAAACACACAGACTTCCGTAAATAGCAGGATTAGAACCAGGACAAATATATTGTCAAGCAGCATCTGGACAATCTCAGTGTTGTGGCTGGCATTTCCACTTTCCTGTCTGATTTCATTTAGACCATAATATTTACCTATTTACTTTTTGTTATGAGTCCAACCCAACTTGCACGGCTGAAGTAGTGAGCTGAACAGAAATATGTGATTATCTTATGCTTCTCCGTTATGTTTTTCAGCAAAACTGAAACTGCCTCATCAATTTTATTTTTTTGCCTCATCAGTTTTTAAATTTTACTTCCTTCAGACCAGCCTGAAAGATGGGGCATCTTCTAGAACTCTTCGGGTTAGAAAGGGAGAACAAATGAACACAGGGCAATGACAGACTCAAAGTATTCATATTATGCATGTATACATGCAAATAGGCGTGCTCTAACAATTCAAGGGAGTATGCGTGCGTATCGCCCATAATGCAAAAGAAACCCCTGCTGACCTCATTTGGAACGCGCGATTGCTACTACTAAATACTATAAGGCAGGAAAACACTCTTGCCAGGTCGAATTGGGAGACGTAACCGAGTGGGCTTTGCACCCAGGTACTACAGCTCCCGGCATGGCCCGGGCGCCGCACGCGATTAGCATCCATGAGAACTACATCTCCCGGCGTCCCTTTGGGCCCGTGCGTGGTTTGCTACAGAGAGAACTACAACTCCCGGCATGCCGGGGGAGTAGGTGGAGGACGCCGGTAACTAGCCTCAGCGACTTCCTGGAGTCAATCAGGTCCCGCTCCGGCCGAGGATGGAGGAGTCTTGGGGCGCCGGTGGCCCGGAACCCGGCGATAATCTGGCTCTGAAGCCGTGTCTGCTGCGCCGCAACCACAGCCGCGAGCAGTACGGCGTGGCGGCCTCCTGCCTCGAGGATCTGCGGAGCAAAGGTGGGCGGGGGCCGGGGGCCGGGGGCCGGGGGCCGGGGAGCGAGGCCTGCGGGACCGGGGACCGGGGGCGAGGCCTGGGGGGCCGGGCTGAGGGGACCCGGGGTCGGGGAGGATGGCGGCGGGGGCCAGGCGGGGTGGAGAGGCGACTTGGGGTTCTTGAAGCTCTCGGAGGAGCCTGGAGACCGTAGTGACTGCCGTGGAAACAGCGATTTACAAGTTTCCAAGCGTTTGCCGCAACCGGTTTGGCTCAATGGATAGAGCGTCGGCTTGGGGACGGAAAGGTCCTGGGTTCGATTCCGGTCAAGGGCATGTACCTTGGTTGCGGGCACATCCCCAGTGGAGGGTGTGCAAGAGGCAGCTGATCGATGACTCTCTCTCATCGATGTTTCTAACTCACTATCTCTCTCCCTTCCTCTCTGTACAAAATCAATAAAGTATATTTTTAAAAAAAAAAAAGTTTCAAAGGGTTTACAAGCGCTTGAACTTACCCCGTGCAAAACTCATGGTGGTGGAAAGGTGGACGGGAAGCTTTGGGCAAATTAAAACAGACCCGATTTAGGTACCCTGCCTAAAATCACGGGTTTTGGACCAATCCCAGCCCAGTGCCTTATCACTGGGCTCTCCAAGGTGAGCCCAGGGCGGGGCAGCGGTTCCGCCCTGGCTCTGGCTGGCACCTGTGCGATGAGAGGGAGCTGCTCGCTACCGTTGTTCTGGGCCCCAGACAGAAGGCGCAGGTTGTGATGAGTTGACAGAAGCCCTGAGCCTGGCCTCATGGCGTTACTAGCTGCTTGATCTTGCAGGAACCCTGGCTTTCTCATTGGCAGTGGATACAATATTTCCAGCCCTGCTTCCCGGGATTGTCAGGACTCTCAGAGGATACATGCAAATAATGTACAAGCCTTATTAGTCCGTAGGAATAAATAGTTTAAAGAAATTCTAGTAGCTAAACGTCTGAGTGGTCCCCAGGCATGTAGTCCCAGTGTGTGCGGGGTTCAGTGCTTCCTCACCCCATCCCATACCCCCCCTCCCCCCCTGGTCATCAGGCCCCAGAGAAGGCAGACCAAAGTCTTTCCGAGCCCCAGGAGCAGCCACGGTAGTATACATGCTTTAGTGGCGTAGCTTTTGCCATGTCTTCACATGTATTTATTTGTTTTTGGCGTTAGGGTAAAGTTCGGTGCCCTTTCACTGCCTGGTGGCAGTTGGCACAGAGGCCCAGTAAGTGCTGTGTTCTCTGGAGCGTCCCCTCCACTGGGGAGGTAGACAGCATTGCCTTGAGGATATTTATAGTCTTGGCTACTTCTTGTCTTACTCTAGTTCATTAGCATCTTAGGCTACTGATACAAGTTTCTGCTTCTTTATTCTCTTCCATAGGTTATAAAGGCTTCAAAGGAAGATTCTACAGAGGACAAAAAGCATAACTTTTACTTTTTTACATTTGACACGCAAGAATTTAAGATGATCACTGAGTAAATGAATGAAAGACTGCTTGTTTACAAGGAGTTGAGCCAGATTCTGCAGGTGTAAATGCCGGTTCTGACATTTAATGTGCGATCTTGGACAAGTTACTTAACTTCTCTGAGCCTTGGGTTTTTGTTTCTTGTTTTTGTTTTTTAAATATATTTTATTGATTTTTTTACAGAGAGGAAGGGAGAGGGATAGAACATTAGAAACATCCATCAGCTGCCTCCTGCACACCCCCCACTGGGGATGCGCCTGTAACCAAGGTACATGCCCTTGACCGGAATCGAACCTGGGACCCTTGAGTCCACAGACTGACACTCTATCCACTGAGCCAAACCGGTTAGGGCTCCGAGCCTTGGTTTGATGTCTGTAGAATGGCAGTGACAAGAGTATCTACCTTCTAGGATTGTTATGAGATGCCAAGCACTTAGAACAGTTCCCGGCACACGAAATGCTATATCCGTGCTACTGAAGTTGTGGTGGTTATCGTAGTTAACATTACCTACCAGGAATGCTGCTAGGCCCCAGGGGCAAACAAATGGAGAGTGAAAGGATACATGTCATTTCCTTATGTTATGTTAATCGCCAATGTTTCCTTTCTCTCAGCCTATGACGTCCTGGCCATTGATAAGTCCCTGGCACCCATCACCTTGGTCCTGGCAGAGGACGGCACCATCGTGGATGATGGCGATTACTTCCTGTGTCTGCCTTCCAATACGAAGTTTGTGGCCTTGGCTGGTAATGAGAAGTGGGCGTACAACAACTCAGGTGAGAAATGCTGGCCGTGTGCAGGTGATCTGTGCAGCACAGTTCCCATCCTGATTCATGTTCGTGCCCAGGCTCCTGGTTACTGCTTGTCTGACAGTCTAGGAATGCCGCATATGGTGCTGAGTCTGGGGGCCCCATTCTCAAGTGACTCACAGACCAACGGCCACTGAAATGCAGTGTGGCACAGCGACCGGCGCCACAGGAAGTCAGGCCGCCCCATCTGAATCCAGGTTCTGCCCTTCGCTAGCCGTGTGACCTTGGCCAAATTACCTAACTCCCCCTGCACCTAATTGAGGTGATAATTATGGTGCCTGTCTCCTAGGATCGTTGTAAGGAGAATAGGACACAGGACATGTCAAACCAGGGTTTCTCAATACTATTACTGACGTTTGGGCTGGAGAATTCTTTGCTGTGGGGCTGTCCTGTGCATTGTAGAAAGTCTGCCCTCTCTATGCCAGCAGCACCTCCTCACCCCGGTCATGACCGTCAAAAATGTCTCCTGGGGAGCAAAATCACTACCAGTTGAGACCCTCTGACAGAAACCTGTTAGATCTTTTTTTTTTACAGAGAGAAAAAGAGAGGGATAGAGAGTTAGAAACATCGATGAGAGAAAAAACATCGATCAGCTGCCTCCTGCGGGGATGTGCCCGCAACCAAGGTACATGCCCTTGACCGGAATCCAACCTGGGACCTTTCAGTCCGCAGGCCGACGTTCTATCCACTGAGCCAAACCAGTTTCGGCAAGCTGTTAGATCCTACCTGTCACACAGTAAGGGCTCCGTAAACGTTACCTGTGGTGACGCAAAGGGAACTAACATGGATGAGCAAGGATCAAAGAGCTAAAGAAGCTCCTTAAGGAAAGTCCTCATGGAACTGAATTGAGGAACTAACCTTCCACCATGGCTCTACCAGCCAACTTTGTCCCCAGGGACAGCAGTAGCCACAGCTCCTCCGATCAAGGGCAAGACCAGTCCACAAGCACAGGGAGAATGAATGTCTCGTGTACTCAGAGACACAAAACTAACCTAACGGGAAGTGTGGTAGGATCCTGAGTGTGCATGAGCACATCTGGGAATATAAGAAGCTACTTTCCATAAAAAAATAAAGGGCAGTCACATGCAGAAATAAGTAAAGCCGGCCCGTATGGCTCTGTGGTTGAGCATCTGCCCTTGACCAAGAGGTCACCAGTTCAATTCCCAGTCAGAGCTCATGCCGGGGTTTCAGGCTCGATCCTCAGTAGGGGGCATGCAGGAGGCAGTCAATCAATGATTTTCTCTCATCATTGATGTTTCTCTCTCTCACCCTCTCCCTCTCTGAAATCAATTTAAAAATGTTTTAAATATGGAAGAAAAGGGAAGATTAGTTGGAGATTGGCTTTCCCATAACCTTGAGGAAAGGGGCTTTCTTCTCCATTGAAATTATTCTAAACTAGAGATTCAGTGCACAAAATTCGTGCAAGGGGCTTGGCCCCCCCCACCCATCCCCATCCCCATCCCACCACCACTGCTACCTCTGCCTCGGCCCTCACAGCTTCCGCTTCATCCAGAAGGTCTTCAGGTCTAATTAGCATATTACAATGTTGTTATTGCAGATGGTCAGTCAGAAGGACGTGCAGACATGCTGGACGGCTGTGTTTGTAGGGCGGGGGGGGGGCGGGAGGGTGTGAAACATCACTCTCAGTCATCTGACTGACTGGCCTTTCCCCCCACATGGCAGACGGAGGTACCGCTTGGATCTCCCAGGAGTCCGTGGACGTAGATGAGACGGACAGCGGGGCAGAGCTGAAGTGGAAGAATGTGGCCAGGCGGCTGAAAGAAGACCTGGCCAGCATCGTCCTCCTGTCAGAGGAGGACCTCCAGGTAAGCCTCCTCCATGCTCACTGCCGTGCGTCTGGCCTCTGCTGCCCACAGCAGTCTCTTAGCTTCCATGGGTCTTGCCATAATACTTTTATTATTTATTCATGAGAAAGCGGGAGGGGAAGAGATTCAGAAACATCGATTAGAAACAACATTGATTAGCTGTCTCATGCACGCCCCCTGCTGGGGATTGAGCTGCAGCCCAGGCATGTGCCCTGACCGGGAATTGAACTGGTGACCTCTTGGTTCGTGGGTCGATGCTCAGCCACTGAGCCACACCAGCTGGGCTTATTTCTTTATTTAAATATATATATATATATATATATATATATATATATATATATATATATATATATATATATTTATTTTTTTAACAACATTTATTTATTTATTTGTTAAATATATTTTATTGATTTTACACAGAGAGGAATTGAGAGGGATAGTTAGAAACGTCGCTGAGAGAGAGACATCGACCACTGCCTCATGTACACCCTCCCACTGGGGATGTGCCCGCAACCGAGGTACGTGCCCTTGACCGGCCATGAGAGGCCACATGTTTCATGATAGCGATTATAAAGAAAGGCCAGGATACACAGACCTGTAGCGATGGAAAGTAGGTTAGTGGTTGCCTAGGGCTGGGGTTGGTGGGGATCTTTGAGGAGAAATAGGGAGTGACCCCTAACAGGTATGGGGTTCCTTTTTGGGAGGAATGAAAATGTTCTAAAATGACTGTGCTGATGATTGCAGAATCCTGTGACTATTCCAAACCCCACTGAATTGTACATTTAGAGGTGAATTGTATGGTGTGCAATGATATCTCAATAAAACTGCTGTGGGGAGAGGGGTATACACCGGAAAGTGTGGCTCCTGCCTCTGCGACCCAGCTTCGCTTCCTGGAGACAGCCAACCTGTCAGCTTCCTCCGATCCCAGAGGCGTTTCATACACAGATTGTAGGGAGCCGCTCCCTACAACAAATAGATGTATTTTCTCCTCCTCCCCTATGTTACACAAACAAAAGCATATCTCCTGTCTTTAAAGACTATTTGGAGAGTATCCAGATCAGCATATAAAAGGCACCGTGTTCTTTTTACCAGTGCAGTATTGTGTGTCACACATGTACCGTGATTTGTTTAACGAGTCTCCCCACTGTTGGACGTTCTGGTCGTTATCAGACAATGCTGCCAAAAACTCACACCAGCCACATTTTGCACGTTCGCCTGCACGAATGTAGAAGCATAGTTGGTAAACACTGGCAGGTTTCCAGGAACTGACGACTAAATGAGAGCTGAAGGACAGGGTGGAGCCAGCCCGGAAAGCTGGGGCCAGAGTGTTCCAGGCAGGTAGAAGGCAGGAGCAAGCTAGAGTTTGGTTTTTTTGTGGTTGTTGTTGTTGTTTTTTAATATTTTTATTGATTTCAAAGAGGAAGGAAGAGGAAAAGATAGATGGAAAAATCAGTGATGAAAAAGAACCACTGATCGCCGAAACCGGTTTGGCTCAGTGGATAGAGCGTCGGTCTGCGGACTGAAAGGTCCCAGGTTCGATTCCGGTCAAAGGCATGTACCTTGGTTGCGGGCACATCCCCGGTAGGGGGTGTGCAAGAGGCAGCTGGTCGATGTTTCTCTCTCATTGACGTTTCTAGCTCTATCTCTCTCCCTTCCTCCTCTCTGTAAAATATCAATAAAATATATTAAAAAAGAAAAAAGAAAATCATTGATCAGCTGCCTCCTGCACACCCCCTACTGGGGGTCCAGCCCACAACTCGAGCATATGCCCTTGATCAGAATCGAACCTGGGACCTTTCAGTCCCCAGTCCTACGCTCTATCTACTAAGCCAAACCAGCTAGGGCTAAAATAGTCTTTTAAAGCCATGAACATGTTTAAGGTTTAAATGATTAGAAAAAGTTTTGCTTAAAACAACCCGAGATCGATTCATTATGTAAATAATCATATACCTCCTTTATACTCTGTACAATTGGGTTTTTTAATATCAGGATTTTATTTCATTTTTAATGAGGCATTAGGGTGTCATTTTCTGAGTTTTTTCACCAGAGGAAAACTGCAAACATTGCATGCTTCTCTCTTGACCCCTAAGCAGCCATTAGGTAACTTTGGAAAACAGATTAAAAGAGTCTGTGAAACTGATGAATTTGAGAGAGCTAAGAGCATGCTTAGAAAGTACTTGTAGTCCTGTCTGGTGTGATTCAGTTGGCATCGTCTTTTGCACCAAAGGCTTGCCAGTTCGATTCCCAGCCAGGGTGCATGCCTTGGTGGCAGGCTGGATCCCTGGGGGAGGGCATGCAGGAGGCAACTGATGGATGTTGCATTCTCACATCAATGTTTCTCTCTCCCTCTCCCCTCCCTCCCTCTCTCTCTAAAAAAGCAATCAACTATTCTTTTTAAAAAAGAAAGGAGCCAAAACCGGTTTGGCTCAATGGATAGAGCGTCGGCTTGGGGACTGAAAGGTCCCGGGTTCGATTCCGGTCAAGGGCATGTACCTTGGTTGCGGGCATATTCCCAGTGGGGGGTGTGCAAGAGGCAGCTGATCGATGACTCTCTCTCATCGATGTTTCTAACTCTCTATCTCTCCCTTCCTCTCTGTACAAAATCAATAAAAATATATTTAAAAAAAAAAAAAAGAATAAAAAATAAAAAAGAAAGGAAGTGCTTGTAGGTTTCTTAGAGTCTGTGTTTGTCTGTTAGGTGCTCATCGACGTTCCCTGTGCAGACCTGGCTCAGGAGCTGGGCCAAAGCTGCGTCATGGTCCAGGGGCTGCAGAACACGCTCCAGCAGGTGCTGGACCAGCGGGAGGAGGCCCGCCAGTCCCAGCAGCTCCTGGAGCTCTACCTCCAGGCTTTGGAGAAGGAGGGCATCATCCTGTCCAAGCAGCCAGGTGGGAGCACCGCGGGGGAGTTACACCGGGAACCGGCTGCCGTGGGGCCTTTCCTGGAGAGAGAACCAATTGTGGCAGCCCCAGCAGGCAGGCCGTGGGAGCTGGCATCGAGAAACACCGTTTCCTTCCTGCCCTGATTCCTCTGGCTGGGGTTGGTGGGCTGTGCTCACGCACAGTGCTGATCTCCATCTCACGTCTGCTTTGCAGAGTCCCACACTGGCGTCGGTAATGAGGGGGATGCCGTGGACACGGGTCCGAGCAGGGAGTGCTCCTCCGAAACTGCCCTTTCGAGCCAGGCCCTCACCACGCTGAAGGAGAAGCCTGCTCCCGAGCTGAGCTTGTCCAGCCAGGATTTGGAGGTGGGCGAGAAGCTGGGAGCCTGAACCGCAGAGCACGGCTCCCCCTGGAGGTGTAGCGTAGCCCTGCAGAGGCTTGTGGGGATGTTTTTCACCTCTGCAGACAGTCTTAGCTGCCGGTTTGCCTATTATATGCCAGGGCTTTTGCAAACATCGCATGTAATCCAAATCAGAATGGCTTGCACAAAATGGACGCCCTCCCACAGGTCATCAAACATGACTTTCTGACCCAAGGTGGGCAGTGAGTTGAAGCCGGATGGGGGACAGCAGGGAACTGGAAGCTGGACAAGGAGAACCATCACGGGGGCTGCTGCTCACTCACCTTTGTTCCTGTCCCGCTCCCTCCGCCTTGCAGCTGGAAGGGGGGAGGAAGCGGGATTGGCTTGAACGTGGCTACATTTCCTGTGAGTGGGGATTTTGTAGTTGCTCCAAGAACGCTTTCCAAAGAGCCTTCCTGCTGGTGTTGTGGGAAGAGAAGGCCCGGGACAGCTGACTGTGAGGAGACCGGCATTCCCGCAGGGACATGACCAACCCGAATCGCCCACCTGACCCCTAAAGCAGCCGTGGGAGCAGCAGGACAGGGGGCAGGGGGCGTGGCTCTCAGTGGCTCTTGTTCTCGCCACAGCTGGTCACCAAGGAGGACCCCCAGGCCCTGGCTGTGGCTCTGCACTGGGACGTGAAGAAGGCGGAAGCTGTGCAGCAGGCCTGCGAGCAGGAGCTGAGCCTGCGCCTCCAGCAGGTACAGAGCCTGCACTCCCTCAGGAGCCTTGCAGCGCGGAGGGACTCACTGCCCGGGGACCCGCAGAATCCCAAACGAGCCAGGCAGGACCCCGCATAGCTGCGCCGCACACACGCCAAGGAGGGCCGCGGACCTCGGCTTTGTTACCGGTAAATCCCTTCAGCCTTAACAGCGACCTGCGCACCGCTCCGCCCCCCGCCGGCACACCATCTCCTGGGAGAAGCTGGAAGACTGTTCCAGATCTCGGCTTTGATGTAGCTGCACCAGTATGCCCACCTCCTCAACACGTTCTTATGTCCTGTTTTAAGTGGCGAAGGACAGTGAAAAGAAACGGTCATACTTCAGACTCATCATCCTGTTCTAAAGCTAGAAATGCAGAATTTAAACGAATAACGGTAAAGAAGGCGGCACAATAGTGTTGATGATGGCCACAAACTTGTTTCTCAAACTAATGAACTTTTTTGTTAAGTCCGCAGACCTTGGGATACGGAGAGTCTCGCGATTTCTAATATCCAATTCAGTATGTCGAGCCGTATCTGAAACCTCAGACTTCTAATATGTTTTATCAGCAGGGGGGTAAGAGGTCATTAAGGCGATTTCCACATGACATGATTGAGGCTCTCTGGGTGCAAAGCAGAGACTTCTGGTTTACATACTTTTACTCTTCAGGTTTTATGCCTCTCCTTGCGGGGAAAGGTTATCAGGGATTTCATTTTTTTAAGCATGCTTAGAGGAAGTAGAATGCTGTTATGAGATACAGTGGCTAGTTATTGTTTTAGGCTAATTATTCAGTGACAAAATACGAGTCCGGGGCCTGGGAGGTGCGGCACACGCAGAACAGAGACCCTCTCCTCTGACCTCTGAGGAGGGCTCCGCTGCTCTCAGCACCTTCCCTGAGGCCTCACAGCCTGCTTCTCACTTAGCGCCGTCGCCTTCTTGGCAGCACATTTGTTTTGCCTCCTTCATTGTCCTTAAATGACAGCCAGGCTGATGGCCCGCCTACCTGTGTACTTGCTACCGCACTGACAGCATACCCCAAATGTGATATTTCGTAAGAAACGAAAGCAGCGTTTCCAATAAAATGGCATGTGTCTCGGGATCCTGGTCTCTGTCTGGACATGACTACACCAACGGCACACTGACACTGTGAGATGCTTGTCCTTCGACACTGGCTCACCGTGAACTTGACAGGCAGCCAGGCCTGGGTGTGGAGTGATTGTCAGCCCTAATACCACAAGCAGCATTGCCCTTTGTATTAGGACTTCCCCTGTCAGTGACCTTCTGAACAAACATCTGTACTTTTCTTTTACAAAATAGTTGCATGCTTGAAAGATCCAGGGAACATCAAAACTGGGGGAAATACTTTGAATTTCTATGTAAAACAGAATTCCATTTCAGGCTAGGATAATTTAGAACAGGTTTTCATCCAATGACTGCCCAGCATGGCGATCAAGTCACATGGACGTGGGACAATTCTCCATTGCGTGGAATTGTCCTATAACTTGCTGGAAGACCCACCTCCCACCTCCACCCACTCGATGCCAGTAGCAATCTTCAGTTACTGAGATAACCAAAAGCTTCCCCACACGTTTTCCAAATGCCCCCAATGGGTCAGTAATGCCAGCTGCACCTCCCCCATCGGTGCCTCACCAAACTGCTGAGCTGAGCAAGGTGTGGCTGGGCGCCTCATTTCATAGGTGAGCAGAGCTGTGCTCAGAGGCTGACTGGCCTCATGTCAGTCGGGGGGCCGGGATTCAGAGGCAGATCTGCCGTTCTAATTCCCCCGCTCTTCCCACCTGCATTTTCTTTTGGGTCCACTCACTCTTCAATTCCACATCCAGGTCACTGGTTTTGCTCTCCTAATGTAGCAAGTTGGGAAAGGCCCAAAATGTCTGTAACATAATTGCCAAAAGGTGTCTTAACTGTGGCCTGGGGAGGGTGGGATGAGTAGCGAAAGCTGAAGGTGCCATCTCCTCACCAGCTTTCCCAGCATCTCGTTATTGTCACATACACAGAGGAGCTTTGTCTGGAATTCTGTACTTGAAACAAAGTCACCACGCATCTCAGCTGCACAGGATGAAGGAAAAAGTACTGGGGGTTTGGAGTGAGACAAGCCCATGTTGAGTCTAACCTTCTGGGACCTTAGTTGCCAAAAATGTAAGGTTGGTATAAGGCCCCAAGACTGAAAGAGTTAAAAGATGTGTGAGGATGTGCAGTGTCTAGCAGTGGACTAGAGCGGCTCCCTCTCATTTCCCGGCGGCGCAGAGATGGCGGGTGGAGCAGACAGGGCTTGTCTGACCTTAGGAGGCGCCCATCTATGGTTCTCTAGGGAAAGGGCTCAGGCTGCAAACTCCGGCAACGTGTATGGAGAGCCCAGGTGTAGTGAGAGCGGTTGCCAACTTGTTGCACTGTCATGGTCACCATTTACCTTCCCTGCACCTCTGTGCCCCCAGGCCTTCTCAATCAGAAACACGGTGGCACATCAGTCTCTCTAAAAATAGGAGGAAAGACGTGGGAGCAGGGCGGAGGGGAAAGAATGTCAGCGAAAGCAGCTGGGGCTAAGAACTCCAAATCAGCCATGTTCCATTCTTCCCGCTCCAGGCAGGTGTCGGTCCCCATTAGGCAACCGGCTTTGACAAGAGCTGTGCTAATTACCCTTATGAACCTTAAATTTCTGGGTAAAAGCCAAAGTAAAAAAACTAATGGATTTTTCATTTTCCAGAAAGGAATAAAATAGTTGTCTGAACAAAACACACACACACACTGTTCATACAAGAACTATTTTTTTTTAATGTTTTATTGATTTTTTTGCAGAGAGGAAGGGAGAGAGATAGAGAGCTAGAAACGTCGATGAGAAACATCGACCAGCTGCCTCCTGCACACCCCCCACCGGGGATGGGCCCGCAAGCAACGTACATGCCCCTGACCAGAACCCGGGACCTTTTAGTCCGCAGACCGACGTTCTACCGCTGAGCCAAACCGGTTTCGGCCATACAAGAACTATTAATGTGTCTTTGCTAACCAGATTATTTAGCTGTTCAACTTTTTCTTTTTTTTGCCTTCAGGGTTTTTCAACATTTGTAGGGTTTTGCCTTATTCTGGTTGTGTCTTTTACTATGTGAAGGTTTGAGGTTTAATTCTGTATTGTTTAAATTATTACATGTCTCCTTTCCCCCGCCATAGACCTCTCCCCGGCTGTTCCCACCCCCACAGCACATGCCCTCACCCGCCCCTACTGTCTGGTCCATGGGTTCTGCTTATATGCAAGCATACAAGTGCTTTGGGTGAACTCTACCCTCCCACCCCCAACCTGCCTTCACTCTGAGGTTGGTCTGTTCGATGTTTCTATGTCGCTGGGTCTATTTTAGTTCCATTAGTTTATGTCATTCTATTACCTGAGGGTTTTAAGGACCTTGAAAATGATCTAGTCTGAACACCAGCCACTGCCTGAGCCCCCTACACGGCTGATGGTGGGGCTTGTCCTGTGTGGAAGCCACCATGGAGGGGCCTGGACTCACTCCCCAGGAGGCACATTGGGTTTTCAGACTGCAGAATGTTGGGTATTTGCTTGAATTAAATTGCAACTTACGCAAGTACAAGGAAGTAAACCAACAGGTTAAGGCAGAAACTGACTGGGTTTTCCTCAATATTTTCTAATACCATGTTACAAGAACTTCAATCAAAAAAATTCTAGCTTTTATTTTTCCAGCTTGTAATTATTTTAATAAGACAAGCATATGTATTCTTGACCACTTAACTACTTAATCATAAAGGAAAAGGGTAAATCGGAGTTTTCATTAGGGTTCTGAGAAATGAAATAGTGGGTTGCTCAGCTGTCCTTTGCCTCTTACTAGTTTAGAAACAGAAAACTTGTTTCTTTTCCTGCCTACATGACTTCTCCTCTCCTGGTTTGTTCAACAAGGAATCCGTATCTCACTGAAGCAGCTACTACGGTTAACACTCTGGTGACCCCGGCAGCAGGTGCTGTTAAGTCAAGCTAAGTGTCTCCCATGAGCTTACTGGCTTGAGCTCCAAAAGCCTGGAAGGTTTGCTGTCAGCCCTGAAATATGAGTAGTGGGAAGGGATTTCTGTCAAGTGCTTATGTCACACTTCCTGCTCCGCCGTTAGGGACCTATTCTGTGATGAATGCTGGACAGAACGGAAGAGGATGAATGAGAAGTTGTGCAGGCGCTGACGTCCCAACTACAGAAAGGTGGACTGTCGGAAAAGTCTACCAGAAACCTGAAGGCAGGAAATCACCCTAATTACCCATTTTACCCGACTTTATTAATCAAGAGCATATTAATCTAGTCTAACACGCAGTGGGTGCCAGCGCACATTTTATTAATCCCCCTGAACTCAGGTAGGCTTGGGCTTGATGGATTGATTGCCTGGCAGTCTCATTAGTTGAGCCTCATTATCCTTCAGGTATCACTTAGTTCAAAGTTAAAATCCCAATCTTAAGGACTGTGTGTGTATGACCTCAATTGAGACTGAAAAACAATGGCCATGCTTTCCTCCTGGAAAAACCTTCCCAGGAAAGCTCTGAAGGTTAGCCGGTCTTTCGGGCACACGCCGTCACCAGCGTGCTGGCCCAGTTACCGTCTCCTAAAGCTGCTGTGTCTGGAAATGCGGATGCCATTAAGGCTCTTCTATCACATTATACTTCTACTCGGCGAGTAATTATGAATATGAGCTCAGCTCTGCGCAAAACAGAACGGAACGGTCAGCAGTCAGACCCCGCGCGCCTGCCCGCCTCCCAGTGTCAGAGGAGCTGGTGTCCTCCATTCAGCCTGTGCCACCGCCTCAGGGTTAGGCCCGACCCTCAGAAAACGCCCTCCCTCCAGGGATGAATCTCTAAACGGTCAAGTTTAGCATCTAAAAACCTCACCCTGGAAGCTTTCTTTAGAATCTGTGACTCAAGAGTTATAAATATGTATAATCAAGCGAGGATTTCAGAACTGTGGGAAAATTAAAAATCTGATGAGGGTTTTGAAACTGAGCAACTTGTTTACACCTCACGATTGAGCCGACCACAATCCCGGTCCTCACGGGCTCAACGCTGCTCTGCGTTACATCCCAGAAAAGGAGTCCCCCTCCCTGAGCAACCACTCAGGTCGCTTCTGCGGGAACTGCCAAGGAATGGGGCAATATAACAATTATAATACATCCCAACACAGACGCACTGTCTCCAAACCAGGTCTGGGCCCTGGGACTGCAGGCCCCTGCATTAGGAGTGAAGACGAGCAGGCTGCACAGACGGGCAGCAGCACGGCTCACTGTTTTGGGTTTGAAAAAACCCAAAGCACTCATCCATGAAAAGAATTCTAACAAATGATTAACTTACTCATTAAAAGGAATAAGTATGCAACAGCAGGTTCCAATGTAACTTTTATGAACATGTCAGCATAATGTCTGTTTAATATCATGACATTTGTTTCTAAGTAAATTTTTCCTAAATCATGAATAACAACCATTTTGCTCTTTGAACAGTGTTAAAAATTTGCTTTTAACATGAGGGCAATGTTTTTTAAATTAGACAATTTATATCAATAGAAACTGAAATAAGGTGGTATTCTGAACCCTTAATTTTTTGCCCTTAGCTATTTTATTTTTTTAAATATATATTTTATTGATTTTTTAGAGAGGAAGGGAGAGAGACAGAGAGCCAGAAACGTTGATGAGAGAGAAACATCGACCAGCTGCCTCCTGCACACCCCCCCCCACCGGGGATGTGCCCGCAACCAATGTACATGCCCTTGACTGGAATCGAACTTGGGACCCTTCAGTCCGCAGATCGATGCTCTACCACTGTGCCAAACCGGCTTCGGCTGCCCTTAGCTATTTTAAATCAAAGAAAGGAAGAGATAATGAAGGTGGAGGGAAAGGCCCGTGGCTGCACTGAGCACAATGCAGCAAACCCACAAAAATCTACCAGAAGCATTCACTTTGGGTTCCAGGTTACTCAAAACGCATCCCTAGAGTTTAAAGTAAAAATACTTTTCAAATTACCCAGAAACAAGACGACGACTGCATAAAGAAGAAAGGTCTTGGCTACTTAAAACGTTTTATTGGGTCCATGGCTGCACTCCCTGCAGAGCAACGGGAAGGGGCTTTACTTGCAGGAGGAGAAGGTCTTCCAGAAGAAGTTCCTGCAGGGCACCGGCTCCGGGCGCGGGGCCTGCCGCGGGGGCGGGCCCTCCTGCCGCCAGGACACCGCCCCGGCCGCCCCGCCCAGGAAGGGAGCGGCTCTGGCCTGGGCGGTCCCCGCGGACCACCATGCGAGGAAAGTCAGCAGGCCGCTCTTCATGTCTGCCACCTCCTGCGGAGGCTTTAAAAGAAAGCAGAGGACAAGGGAAAATCAACCATCTGACTCAGCCGGCAGCTGAAGATAAATACTGCCATTCTTCCTTCCTTCAAAAAAATAAAATTGCTCCAGAATAAACCACATATCCATTTAAAGGGTGAGGAAGTTGAGAGACCACCTTAACAGCATTGCTCTCATTAAAGAAAAGGTAAAGTTGAGAATTCCCAATCATGCAAAGAAAAAAGACTGCTTGTTTCGCCCATAATCTTTGCTGAGGTCCTTAATTCGAAGAGGTCGGGAGATGTGCCATTTTCCCGATAAGTGACTGGCAGCTAAGAAGCCCGAGGGGGGTCAGGTCATTAGAGGAGCAGGTTTCCCCTCTCTGGCCTCCCTCCTGGCTGTCCACAAATTGCTCTGCAAGTCAGACCAGACTGAGATGCTGTATCCTGGTCCTTCAAACTCCCTAGAAAGCTTCCAGGAGTAATCCGATGATAAATGACTTGTCTGAGATTCATCTAGTAATTTCAGAGAAAAATCCATTTTTAATGGTCAACTTTATGTACTCTCCTTGGAACTTTTTCAAAATGGAAAAGAGAGAAAAATAAATCACCCCATGAAGTTGCAAGTTCTCACAAGGAAGAATGTAACGATGTCAATTCATCTGAGCCAGTGAGAACATGTGCCGATGTATGAATTAAGACTCTAGAGCGTGTGTGTGTGTGTGTGTGTGTGTGTGTGTGTGAGACTATCAGTGTGGTGAGCGCCTGCTCGCCGTACAGCAGACTGGTCCAATCACTGAGCCTGCAGACACCGGCAGTGGGAGGCTGCCAGCATGAAGCATGAGGAAGCCCACCGGGCTTCAGAACTTCCCACCTGCCTCAGCTCCCTGGTCAGCGAGACTCCGTGGTCTGTGTGACATCACAGGACCCCAGGGCAGAGGGAGCACCATGAAGCTCAGCCCCTCGGCCTGTCCTACGCACTCGGCCATGAGGATGCTGGGGAGTCACAGGCATGGCCAAATGGGCCAGGTAGCGAGACAGCCAGAAAGGGGGCTAGCATGTGGCCAAGTCAGGGACTACTCACCCCACTGTCGCTGTGGTGGCCGGCAAGGCCGCCCTCCGGAGGCAGGGCCTCGGAGGCCGCGGGGAGCGGGAGCGGGAGCAGCAGCAGCAGCAGGCAGAGGGGCGGTGGCATCCTGCGGGCTGACAGGCGATCCTCTCCAGCTCTGTGGCTGCCCGTCTTTCTGGGCAGCCCTGAAACCGGTGTTTTGTGGACGTGGGTCTCTTTGAGACTGGGGGTATTTTTAGCTCAACCTGCAGCTGGTTTTCTGTGTACATACCTGTGTACAGCCTGCACCCTTCCTCCCGCTCTCAGGCAGTGACGCATATGCCAGAGCAATCAGTGCCACAAAGGCGCTTCCGGATGGGACTGAACCCTTCATTAAAGACGCGGGTCTGCCGTGTTTGGAGCGGATTTGCTCTCGCTTTGCAATTCATGCGCACTTCTTCTAAAGAAGTCCCACGTCCTCCAAATCATGCCCACAGCAAGCAGGAGGCGGCGAGGACAAAACCAAGTCATTTGACACAGCAGGCATTCGCCTTGGGCGAGGAGCCCACAGCCTGCGATTCTGCCCAGAGAGAAGGGCTGACCGCTGCGGGCAGAAGAAACAAGGAGCCACGAGGGCCCTGGGAGCTGCTTGGAGCATCGCCTGGTTTCCCAGTGACCGCTCCCCAGCCGGCAGGCCAGCCACCGTCCCCCTGCCCAGGCCTTCTCACTGTGATGTGAACCCAAACCGCCTAAATGAAGATTAGAATGCAGATCCTGATGTTGTGCGAGGAGAAGCAAAAGTCCCACAATTCTAAGGAGCACCTGGGTGATGCTGACAGATGCAAGTGCAGTGTTTTTCAAAACTGCTGCTGATCACCCATTAGCGGGTCATAAAATAGCATTTTTTTGAATGAACAGAAATGAGAGCGCATCACTAAGAGTAAGGATAAATTGTTTCGTGTGCCAGGTGTAAAACAACTTCTACAGAATGACCTGCACTTGCCCGCTCCTGGCTCACTCCTCCTGAGGACGGTGCTACCGCTGAGAAGCACAGGCTGGAAGGTCCTCTGAGCCATTCCCGGCTTCCCTCACTATGAAGGCAGGAAACCCTGGGTAGAGCCAGGTAACCTAAGCCAGGCCTCCAACTTATCCCACGGCACATCCTGGGCTCCACGGAATCAGCCTCCACAGGGTGCCTACCGTGCCAGGCACCACACAAGCACCAAGCGGTCACGGTTCACCACCCAAAGTCTGCCTCCGGGCGGCTGATCATCCAATGTTTGATGCAAGAAGGTGTTTCTGAAAAGAGGTACGACGAGAACCTTGATGAACAGGAAAAACAAAGGCTGCTCATTCTAAAGGGTAGAACAGACCCAGAGAGAAGTAGGAGGTGGGAGAGTTTTCTCATCAACAGAAGAACCTCGGAATTAGTGTCCAGTAAGAGAGGGCTCTCGTCGCTGGAGCTCAGCAGAGCCCGGGGAGCCACACCCCAGGAATGCTGTAGAAGGGTTCCCAGCTGGTGGGAAGAGGGACTAAGTGATCCTAAGGGCTCTTTCTGGACTCCAGTTCAGTAGAGGGAGCAGGCATGTCCGGCTAACTCTTCCTGGACATCACTGTGTACACGGCGGAGCGGCCTTTCCTGTTTCCTCTTCCGTCACACACACCTCCCTGCGAGGTGTTTCTAACCCTGGTCACTGTTAAGAACAGTTTCAGAAAGTCATACAGCTACTGGCGTGGCAAAAGCAGGGTGCAAATCTAGGCTGTCACCCTTTGAAAAGTCCATCGGACTTAGTCTCTAGATTCTCGCTGATGAGGAGTTTTAAGCGAGTTTATCTGAAAATGAAACTAATACACAGATGTCTGGCGGGAATGTCCTGTAAAGATGGAAGGCTCCTTGATTTCCTTTTACTTCACTGATGTGACGCACATGTGTTCCAATTAACATCTGAGATTAGTTATTTGAGGAGCCGAAACTAAAGTTTGAATTCAATGCTTTACTATAATCACGGCTTAGCATCTCTCTTTGACTGTTGGGCTTTGGGGTGTCTTTTGCTAATCACATCTGGGCACGGATGGTAAAAATCCTGTCCAAAATGCACGCCCTTTTTTCTCCTGCCCCCTCAAATCTAACCCCAAATGTACATAGTCTCTGCTGGTCAGTAGCTGGTTAACCTCTCCACGCTTCAGCTTGCCCATCAGTAAAACGGGAATAACCAGATACACCGAACAAGCTGTGAGGATCCAGTGAGGCAGACTGGGAGCGCCCAGGGCGGGCCTGGCACACAGACAGGCTCGGTAAATGCCAGTCCCTTCTCTTGACCCTCCTGGCCCTGTAGGGGAAAGGCACGGCCTGGACCTCTAAGCACCCCCCAAAAGAAGACAGAACGAGAGCTCCTAGAATCATAGGCCAGGTTTTCCTCTCAAGCAAAATTTCTCCCCAGCAGAACCAGTTTAATTACAAAATAGCCCGAGGAAAATCACAAAAACTGTGTTTCTGGAGAAAATGACATTTAAAAGGTAAAAAGGAACATTTCCCAAACCTTTTTACCTTGTGCTCACAAGTGACATGGGTTTAAACATGGGTAAGCAAAAGAACTATGTAAATACAGCTTATTCATTTTCAGGAATTGCCAGCCTAAAAAATTATGTAAAAGAATTAAGAAATAATTATGATTTTTGCTTGAGAAAAATCAACCATATTGAACTGCCAACACAATTTTATTAATTGCAATAGATACAACTTCCAATATACACCACAGAAATACGAACCTTGTTCCGTGCTTCAGTGAGACACGGACGGGAGCGTTTTGCTTGAGTTTCCATTCTATTTTTTTTCCCCCCATTCTCTTTAAAGGGCTGTTGCGGTCACTGACTTGGAGAACACAGCACAAAAGGCTCCCTCGCCTCTTTGTTTTTGTGTTTTAATCTCTTTCAGTTCCCTTTGTGGCAATCTGCGTTTTCGGTGGCTCTCCCTGCTCAGGGCTGCTTTGTCCAAGCGGTGACAGAGTTTAATTCTCGTTTCCCCCTCTGCCAGCCTCTGCTGGCTCCAACGAATCTTTGTTTTCATCCTCTGATTTCTTTTTCTTCTTTGTTTTTCGTTCTGCATTGGTCCGAGTGATCTCTTCACTTTTCTCTGTGATGTATTTTAGCTACAAAAAAATTTTTTTAGTTATATTTTTATCTGGTTGCAAAGCCATTTTGTAAGCCTAAGAGGATAAATCTACACCGTCTCCCCACCACTCCCACCGAAAGAATTTGGGTGGAAGAGTCTAGGTCACATTCCTCAGAGTCAGACAGAGCTTCACATTTTTCCTGTAGCCGGAATCAACTACAAGTCAACTCACTGCTGCTCTTTATGCTACCAAAAAGGAAGGAGCTCCCTGAGTAATCAATGAATTAAAACTTGAAGCTTGCAGAAGGCATGCCAATCACAAATATACTTTACAAAACGCAAATTTGGTCAACCCCTCCGCCAAATTTATCCAACTAAAATTGTTCAGCAACTACTAAGTACCACCTACCAGGGATACTACGGTGTTTCCCCGAAAATAAGACCTAGCGCAACTTTGGGAGAAAAAATTAATATAAGACACTGTCTTATTTTCGGGGAAACAGGGTAGGTAAGTGCCTTTAGGGAGAGTTTAATCAAATGCACAAACTTAGCTGCATGACTTCATTAATAAGCTCTGTCAGATGGAAAAAATTAAGAGTCCAAAATCAAAACCGTATTCTGACATAAACAAGGAAGCAATAGCAAGTTATACTCTAAGAGGGCTTACACTGACCATTCCTTTGCAAAAGACAGAAACTGCTCCCTGCAGCTGACCAAGTTATTAATAGTTAGGACCCAGAATTCATTTCCACTGGTTCACTTCACCTATTTTACCTGGAAATCATATCATCCTCAACCTTGACTTAAACTCTGGAGAAAGAATGTTAGAAGGGCAAAGGCCAAAAAGAGTCCAGCAGAAACAGCACTATTCAGGTTAGAAAGTCAAGGTTCAGCTCTCAACCAGAGAGCTTCCTATTGAACTGCGGAAAATTACCAACTCGTTGGCTGGCTTGTAAAATGGGCTAATGACTTGTGTTAACCCTCATAGGGTGGTTGTGAAGCTTAGAGGGTATGTTAAATATTTATTTCTTAAAAACCTATAGACAATCAACTGCTGCAGAAATTCATTCAACAACTATTTATTGAGCACCTACTGTGTGCAGGTCTTTGTTTTTGGCACAACAGATGGAGCAGAGAAGAAAGAGGCAGAAATCCCTGCCTCGTGGGGCTCACAGTATGGGAGGAACAAAAAGCATTTTAACTGCGAGGATCAGACTACAGTCAGGGACCCTCAGAGGGCGTCCTGGACCTGCATCAGCACAGCCACTGGGCTGGGATGATCACGGCCTCCCCTGGAAAACGCGGACGTGGTCAAGAGACTTCAGGACTTCTCTGAAAAGACAGACTCTCCTGCCCATCCTGGCTACACAGATCCTCCTTCCATACCTGGCCCCTCGGAAAACTGTGGGCACCATCAACTATCCCCATTCACTCCAGCCTGTGACCCATCTCTGACATCATGCCGTGAATGAAACATGGGACCAAAGTTTTGAGATATTACTAAAAGGCAAACTATGAAATCCAGAGAGTGCTGATTAGAAAATTTCAAATTGGCTTGGCAAGATCCATCTTAATGAAAAAAAGACTATAAATTACAGGCAGGTCTGAACGGTTCAACCGTCTCTCGTTTTTAATGCAAGGTGCCCTGGGGAATCACTTCATGGCTGCAAGTGATTAATTGGGAATAATGTATTCTGATGGGAAAGGGGAGTGAGGGAAGAAATTCATCTCTCACCAGTGAATTACTCCTCCTGGCTAAGAGCTTCACATCTTCCGTGTTAATTGTGCTTCTTTTCGCATGTCTGTAGAAAGGGCAGAAACAATTCACCAAAATGTTTGGTATTATTTAAAGTTTTGATGAAACACCAAAGTTCATGGTCAGACTTCAGGCTAGCAAGGATCTCTAAGTAGCCCATCTTTTCAGATTAAGGTCATTAAGCAACAGAGACACAAAATGAATGAGGTGACCAGCCAAGATGCCAATTCAATAGAGACCAAGAGGAAGCACAGCCCATCTGCCCACCTCCTCTGCGGCCACGGAGCCTGAGGAACACAAGCATGGCAAGGAGCCCCAGGCATCACCCTTCCGAGGGGACGGTCACCTCAGCACAGGAAAAGCCAAGGTCACTGTGCACCCCCAAAACAGCACAGGAAAAGCCAAGGTCACTGTGCACCCCCAGTGAACAGAGGGAACGGCTGTCTCACAAAACAAAGGTCGCCGCTGCTCAGGAGACGTCACTAGTGAACAGGAGCATCAAGAGAATTTCCGTAATGAAAAAAGAGAGAGAGAGAGAGAGAGAGAGAGAGAGAGAGAGAGAGAGAGAGAGAGAATTTCCATGAGGATCAAGATCCAGAAGCTCTTCTCCGAGGACTGACTGACAGCAAGAAGCTCAGGCAGATGCCTCCTAACAACCCATGTCCCCTCAAGGAGGTAAAGTGCTCGCTCTCTTGTCAAGAGCTGGTTAGAACAAAGAGCATCCTTTAAATGGGAGTCTGTGTCTTGCTTATAACTTGGATTCAAATTCTCAACCCAGGCCCCTTATCTTTGCTTTGAAAGGTAACGTGAGCCTGGCCAGGTAACGCAGTAGGTTAGAGCATCGTCCTGATGTGCCAAGGTTCAGGGTTCACCCTGGGTGAAGGCACAGACAAGCAACCAGTGAGTAAACAAGTGGAGCAAACAGATGTCTCCTTCCCTCATGCCCTTTTCTCCCTTTCTCTCTCCCTCTCTCTCCCTCTCTCTTTCTCTCTTTCCCTCTCTCTCTGTCTAAAATCAATAAATTTAAAAAAGTTTAATTAGATAAGCTCTATTCAATAATTTATAACTCTACACCCTTTCTTGCCATTTCTAACTTCCTTCAAGAGCAAATAGGAACTTTGTACATAGGAAAAGACTGGAATCTTTGTACTCCTAAGTGGCCAGCACCCAGTAATCAACACTAAATATCTGTTGAATTAAGATAAACTCACACAGAAATTATACTCCATAACTTGGCCAAATTATTCCTTCCCACCCTGCTAAATGTGAAAGTATTCCGTGTCATCTTCTCCTGAAGGACAGTATCTGCCTGTCCTGAGGTAATGTCCATTTCGGGAGGTGACTGCCAATGAGCCCCACGAAGAGGGGAAGGTCAGCCAGGTGACACACACAGCCACTCCGTGTGAGGCCACAGACATAGTGTGGCCCTCACCTCAATCACCCATCAAGCTGCTCTGTCAGTATTTTATTCTGGGGGAAGTGCAGTGAAAGGAATGAGTAAAAGGAAGCAGCACCCTGAACTAGTTAACTGTTAACCTAACAGTTAGGTTAGCTATCTCTTCACAAAGAATTGTTTAGGGAACCACAAAGGCCTCTCTACCACTCAGCTCATCGAATGTCTCTGCCACGTGTGGTGGTTTGATACTTTCCTCCATGGAGGGACGGGTATGTTCGATGCCGGCCATTATACACCAGTCTCCTAATTCAAACCCCTGGCTCCAAAAAATTTCTAGGGAAAAGAACAAAGCCATTTTTCCTGTAACACTTTTTAGGTTTTAAAGATTACCAAAACTAGGCCCAGTGCACAAAATTCGTGCACAGGTAGGGCCCTGGCTGGAGATCAGGGCCAATCGGGGCCTTCCTTCCTCTGGCTGCCAGCAGGCCAGGGCCTTCCTTCGTTCAGCGCCACCCTCTGGCGGTCAGTGCACATCACAGCAAGTGGCTGAACTCTCGGTGGAACTCCCAAGGGGACAACTTGCATATTAGCCTTTAGTATATAAGATGTTCCTAGAATTTACTTACTATAGAGTATCTTCTTCAAAACAGTTCATCTTTAAACACATGAACAATACGAGGTGACCAGAGATTTCAAAGCTAGATAAGAGAAATCCATAACTTAAATTGAGATGATTTTCCAAAGTTATAGGTGAATTTACTATTTAGAATTTAAATGAATTTCTCACATAAACAATGGTTAGTTCCCATCCAGCCTACAAATTACTGAATACTTGTAGAACACTCAGTGATTACAACGCTAAATATTTCTAGCTTCATTTTTATTTCTAATACTTTTGCAGAAGCATCTAAAAATGTTCATTGCTTTGTCCCACAGCTGGGGGCACACGAGTGGCGGGCAACGGGCAGAGCCGCAGTGCACACCCTCCAGCGCACGGCCGGCCCGCACCACGCACTCCTGCTGTCCGAGGGCAGCGTGCTGCGGTGGAGAAACCCGCTCTGGTCACAAAGCTTCATGTGCAAATCAAATCTGCCTACTCGTTTAGACTTTCGTGTCTCCCTTTCAAATAAATAGTTTTATTTTAAAAGATTTTTAAAGGAGAGAAAAGAAATAGCAAGTAATGGTGTTAAGAGTATTGAGCGCGCGCGCGCGCGCGCACGCGCACGCGCGCGCACACACACGAGTATTGCACAGGAGACACAGGGTTGGGGATAATGGGTCACACATATGGGGCCACTGCCTGAATTAACAATGAATAAACCATAGGAGCTATCAGTATCCCATATCATCTTGTCCCTTTTGGCCAAGTTGAAGATGCTAAGCAGTTTTTAGGGACTCATAATACAGGAATAGGAAAGATTTAGAGCCTGCCCTCTGAGAACCTATGCTTTAATTCATTCAAAATACTCACCCGAGAAGCAAAGAGCTACTCGGAGCAAGGTGAAAAGTATGGGGTGTGAGAGGCTGGCACCAAATCAGAAGTGGCAGCAAATTAGAAAGCTCTGGCCCTTTCAGGCCTTAGTCATTCAAATTGCTTCATAAAAGCAATTCGTTGCAATTGTTTTCAATTACTTGAGGTGCTAATTGAAGAGATGAGCATAAATCACCTGTAAAAGCTAAAGCTTTACCAGCTGAAAGCAAGTCACCCTCTTTTCAAGGAGGGTACAGCTCACTCTGAACAAACGTGGCAAATGCAGCCTGCGTGGCCGCGTGCCGTCACCATCCGGCCAGCTGCCAGCAATCACCGCCTGGCCTGGTGCGGGGACCGGACCCTCCTGCGGAAATGATTTTAAAAGCCCCGCACATTCAGAGTCCTAGAGACGTCATTCATGCCTTTTTAACCTAGAATTGATCAAAACGTACTTGGAAAACTTCAAAAAAATGCAAAATCAAGCCTGAATGGACGTGATTAAAGCAGATGTTATATTCCTGTGGAATCGTGATTAGAGATCAGTCTCCACAAAATGCAACAACAACAAAAAAAAAAGCTCTCCTGAAATATACCACCAGCTGGAGAGTTTCAACAGAATGTAAACAAACACAGTAGCAGATAATCAAGCTCTGTACCCACCTTGCAAACATTTCAAGGTCTTTGGCAAAACTTTCTGAAAAAGAAAAAGAGATGCTTCAGCTACCCTTATCTCAGTCTTATTTCGGGAGAAAAGGTGAAATCTCTCCATGTCTGCAGGAAGTACAGTCACTGATATGACAAACCCCTCCAAGGCGAGAGGGACACTGCGGCAGCCCCACTGCAAGGGCGCCGTCAGCCATTGGCTCATGACCTCCTGTCCTTCGGGCACCTTGACCCTTTATTACTACCGGCTTCCTGGTAACTGTGGCTACACCCTCCATCCCTAGACACCTCCCTTAACCTTACATTTCGCTACAAGTTAGGGCTTGGAGGACATTAATTTCCTGTGAAGTCAAGCAAATATCAATGCCACAAGTTCACCTGTCAAATAAACTATGGGCGATGTAAAAATGTTATAAAGCCAGGAAATAAAAAATTTAATGTCTAAAAAAATTTAATGTCTAATGTTCCAGGCAGTTTAAAACACAGTAAAATCAAGGTGCTAATGCCCCAGTGTTAGTGTAATAGAAAAAAATAGTTCCTCCATAAACTATCTAATCTGACAGCTTCAGGTACAGTGTCAGCGATAAGGTGCGTCGGGTGGTGACACCCAGGCACCCACCCACACGTTCTCCCGGGCCAACCCACCCGGGGGCCCGGTACGTGTGCAGGGAGGCGGGGAGGGCTCCGTACCGCACTGTCGGAAGGTCACCTCCGAAATCGCCGCGATGGTCTGTTTGCTGAGCTGCACCTCCTGGTCCGAGGCCACCTCCTCGCACAGGCAGCCCACGGTGTAGTGGACCGCAGCCTTCAGCCTCTGGAGCAGAAACCAAAACACCGCATGGCAGGCTGCACACAAGCCTGTCCATCTTAAAAATGAGACCAGGAGGGGCCTGCTCGGCCAATTCCTGCAGCACGTCCCATGACGGCTCAGTGGCTTTCCGAGCGGACTAATAAATTAATGGGGGCCTCTGGAGTGTGACTTGTAGAAACATTACTTCCTGGTTAATGGCTCTGATTTAGGTCAAGTAAAGACAAGGAATCAATGGCAGGTCAGCGGGGAGAGAAGTCAGGTGGCACTTGCAGCGGATCTGGGTGACGACTCACCCACAAACACGCGCCAGGCTCCCGCAGAGCGAGGCACATGCTGGTGCGTGGGGACACAAGGGACACCAGACGGGTTTCCTGGCCGGACGGGGGTGAATCACGTAAAAGCAAAAGGACCCCCTCCCTCTGCTGCGAGTTTCCGCCCCCCATGCCTGCATGTAATGAGGGAGGCATGATCAGGAAAACACCGGAAAGACTCCTGAGGGCACGTGACCCTCCTTTGAGTGTTGATCTGCGAGCCCACCCCGGCAGGATTCTCAGCTCCTGAGCAACCTTTTGGATGCTGGAGAACCCTCTTCCGCAGGCAGAGGAGGAGAGAACCAAACAACTAAGCCAAGGCTCATCCCCTGTCAACAAACTACGCTCGTCTCTGTGCTGGAGACAGTGACAGGATATGGTGACCGCTGAACCGACAGCAAGTGCTCACAGCAGAGGAGGAACTGCAGAACGCAAGCCCAGCCCTAGCCGGTTTGGCTCAGTGGATAGACGCTGGCCTGTGGACTGAGGAGTCCCAGGTTCCATCCCAGTCCAACACAGCACATGCCTGTGTTACGGGCTTAATCCCTGGTGTGGGGCGTGCAGGAGACAGCCAATGAATGATTCTCTCTCATCATTGATATTTCTCTCTCCCTCCCTCTCTGCAATCAAATAAATAAATAAATAGAACACAAGCCCAGGCCAGAGAAGGGACAGGCAGTAGGTGCGGCGCCTGCCTTCCTTAGCGTCAGACTTCAAAGGCTGGTCACTGAGGCTCCGGTCCAGGAGACAAAGGGGCCACAGCCAGAAGGAACAGCCCTCCCAGGCCATCTTTTTAAAGAGCACGTGGGTGGCTCAGGGTGAGAGACCGGGCGGGGTCCTCGGATCCAGGCATGTCCTGGGCCCTCCTCCTGGGCTGGGCTGAGCCCTTCCGATGCCGCAGCCGCTGGGGGCTGAGTCGCCGCCGCCCCAGTGCCTCGGGCGGCCCCGCAGCTCCTTGTCCGAGCCAGGACGGCTGCCGGAAGGAGGGGTCCTGGACCCGCTCACCCTGCACAGGGGCCGAGGCCCGCCTTCTGGGCCCAGAGAGAGGGGGTGGGAAAGGGGCCACACTCACGGTGACGGGAGATCTGAATGTGGGTGGCGGGCACACAACGCAATGTACAGATAAAGTATCATCGAATCCTACACTGGAAACCTACATAGTTTTATTAACCAATGTTAATAAAAAATAAAAACCACTTATTTCCCAGCCCATCTGGGCAGCCTTCCTCATTTCATCAGCACGCGCTTGTTCACGGACGGCCAGGCTGGGCGCCAGGGCTGAGCACACCAAGGAAAAGGCAGCTCCTGCCGCCCAGCGTTCGCCTCCCCCTGCCCCTTCACCAGGGATGGACTCTTCAGACCATCGGGGTCAGGAAGGGGGCTCTTCGCTGGAGAGGGGCTCCCGGGAAGACCAGAGGGGCAGGACTCCTGAACTGAGGCATGATCCTCGCCCGGGGCCTGCAGGAAGGAACACGCCGCTGCCAGGCACAGCTCTGGGACATCTGGGGAGGTGTGACATCATCTAATAACAACAACAGAACCTTATCGATATTAAACGTCCTGCGTGTAATAATTGAGATGCTGTCAGAGAACGCCCTTGTGGTTGGGAGATGCATGCTCAAGTATTAAAATGTCAAGGTAATGTGTCAAGCTATTTGCCATTAATTCTTTTTTTTTTTTTTAATTATTTTATTGATTTTTTTTACAGGGAGAGGGATAGAGAGAAACATCGATGAGAGAGAAACATCGATCAGCTGCCTCCTGCACACTGGATGGTTTCAGCGGATGTGCCTGAAACCAAGACACATGCCCTTGAACCGGAATCGAACCTGGGACCCTCCAGTCCACAGACCGACGATCTATCCACTGAGCCGAACTGGCCAGGGCTGCCATTAATTCTTAAATAATTCAGAAAAAAGAAAAAAGAAAAAAAAGGAGGAAAATACAGGAAAAAGTTAACTGGCGAATGGAGGGGACGGGTATGTGGGTGTTGGGTACATGAATTCTGCAGCCTTTTCTGAAGGCTCCTCAGAAGAAAGGGGCCGGAAACAGTTTCTGAACTGTTCCCCCCCGCCCCCCCGCACGCGTCACAGGAGGGACCCGCGCATGCGCGGGCCGGGTCCGCAGGTGACCCTCCAAGGCTGTCCCTGCCGCTAACTGCGCATGCGCGGGCCGGGCCCGCAGGTGACCCCCCGCGGCCTCGGCCTGGCTGCTCGCCTCTCCCCGCGCCGCTCCGCCTCCCCTCAGCCTCGCTCCCCGGCGATGGACGATCACCCGCCGCCACCCCGCCGGGCGGGCACCGACCACCGCCTCCCCGTCAGGAGCCGGAGTCGGCAAGGCCCCCGCCGCCCTGGAGGAGCGGGGCCGCGATGCGGACGCACCCCGGGCGGCGGCCTCTGCAACCCGACGGCGCGGGTTCGCGTCCAGCCCCGCGGCCGGCTCCTCCGCGGCGGGAGGGCGCGGCTGACGGGGTCAGCACGCAGGGCTCGACCTCTGCCCGGTCCCTTCGGCGCGCAGCCCGCCCTCCCGCCACCGTCTGAGGAGGCAGCCGAGGCCTCACAGCCCAGGCCCGCGCCGCCGCCACCCCACCCCCGGGGGCGCGCCGCCAACACTCCGCGCCCCCACGGAGACCGTCTCCCCGCGCCGGCCCCGCGCCGGCCCCCGGGCAGCCCCGCAGGCCCCCGCGCCGCAGCCGGCGGGCCAGCCCGGTCCCCGGAGGCGGACCCCGAAGCCAGGCCGGGCCGAGGCCTCCGAGGGCTTCTCGTCTCCGGAAAGCCCACGCGGCTCCCTGTACCTGTCGGTAGAAGAGTCCCTGCTGCTCCTCGGCGCCCTCCCTCTCCTCCTCCATCCCGGCGGCGGCGCCGGCGCAGTCGGATTTTCCCGCCGCGGCCCCGGCGACCGGCCGCGCGGAGGGACAAAGCGCGAAGCTCCGCGGCGCCGCGCGCGCCCCCTGGCGGCCGCTCCGGGAAGGGCCCTTCGCAGGTCATCCCCGGCCCCTCCTGGGCCGCCCAGGCCAGGCTCCCTGTGCAGCCCACGCCAGCTCAGGGCCTGGCACCGTGGGTAACACCAGCGCTGGGAAAGCAAGTGAGTGTTTCCCCAACATTCCTTTAATAAGAGAGAGAGGGAGAAACGCCCATGTGAGATGAGACATCCATCGGCTGCCTCCTGCACGCCCCGGCCAGGGATGGAGACCACTCCCTGGGCATGTGCCCTGACCCAGAATCGAACCAGCACTTTCAGGGGATGATGCCAAACCCACCGGCCAGGGCTGTTCCACAACATTTTTTTTATTTAAAGGAACCAGCCTTTCCGATGTCTTTATTTTGAACTTCTGGTCTCCTGAACTGTGAGAGAATCAATTTCTGGCTTCCTTTTTTAAAAATATATTTTATTGCCAAAACCGGTTTGGCTCAGTGGTAGAGCATCGGTCTGCGGACTGAAAGGTCCCGGGTTCGATTCGGGTCAGGGGCATGTACGTTGGTTGTGGGCACATCCCCGGTGGGGGGTGTGGAGGAGGCGGTTGGTCAATGTTTCTCTCTCATCAACGTTTCTGGCTCTCTGTCTCTCTCCCTTCCTCTCTGTAAAAAATCAATAAAATATATTTAAAATATATATATATATTATTGATTTTTTACAGAGGAAGGGAGAGGAATAGAGAGTTAGAAACATCAATCAGGTGCCTCTTGCACACCTTCTACTGGGAATGTGCCCGCAACCAAGGTACATGCCCTTGACCAGAATTGAACCCGAGACCCTTCAGTCTGCAGGCTGACGCTCTATCCACTGAGCCACACCAGTTAGGGAGTTCCGCAACATTCTTTACGGTAACTACCATGCAGCTCTAACTTCCATGAGCCTTGCAAAATCCAATTTGTTTTTATAATTCAGCCACCAACAATAGTGTCAAAATCAGACCATGGATAAATGTTTGGTAACCAAACATTTATTTTCTCAATGTTTTGTGCTATTCACAGTGTAAAGGCTCCAGACAAGGTGCACATTAACAGTCAACAACAAATCCAACTCTGATTTGTAGCACTTGCCATTTCCCACGGTGTAAAAACTCATTGTCAATTTCAGACTCCTATGGCTCAGTAGTTAGAGCATTGTCCTGTCACCAAAAAGGTCTTGGGCTCAGTGCCCAGTCAGGGCACATACATGGCCTGCAGATCCAACTCAGGGCCCCTGGGGAGTGTGTGCAGGAGACAATCAATCCATGTTTCTCTCTCTCTCTCTCTCTTTCTCTCCCCCTCTCCCTCCCTCTCTCTTTCTCTGAAATCATTGAGAACAAAGATCCTCAGGTGATTTAAAAAAACAAAAACAAAAACAAAGCAGAAATCACACTGGGCTTCCATTAAATGTACCCCCATCCCAGCTGCATCCTAAGCGGCAGGGCTGAGGAGGCAGAGCTGCAACATACGGAGACATTGGGATTGATTGGTCACGTAACGTACGGGTGTTTCCTGCGGAATACTCTGTAGAGGGTGCATGTAAAATTGCCAGCTTTAGGATGACGTCCTCCATGACACTGAGCGAAAACAACTTGCAGACCGGTGTAACCAAATAATCTTATTTCTGTTTAAGGGAAAAAGCATACAGATCTCTATGGGGGGAGGAGGGGGTATTTGAAAGGAAGAGAAAAACAGCAGAAAGAATAGATGACCAACACAGTTAACTTCTGAGCAACGGGTCCAGAAGGCAGGTAAGGGCTCTCAAATTTTTCACTTTATACATTTCTGTAATCTGCATTTTTAAACAAGCTCGGGTTTCTTTTATAATTAAAGGTAAACACATAAGCTGCTCCTCATCCTCTTCATCCTCGTAAACCCCCCCCCTTCCTCTGAGAGGCGACCCACCTGTGGCTTCTCCCTGGGGGAATCCCCCTCTCCAGGGTCCTCAGTGCCACAGTGAGGGGGGGACACACAGACCTCTGGTGGGACTTCCCTCATCCGTGCCCCTGCCTCAGCAGGCCCACTCTGCCCTCCGGTGGCCACCCTGCTCCCTCACCCTGAGCTGGGGAGGACAGCAGGGGGCTGGGAGGGGTGCAATGAGGAGGCGTGAAGAGCCTCCTGCCCTGGGGCCAGGCCTTGGGTTCAGAGCCAGCGTCTTTGTGATCCTGAGCAAGTCACTGACCTCTCCAGGCCTCCGTCCTCTCCTCCTGAGAGTGGGGGTCACAGTGCCAACATCAGCGTGGCTGTGAGGTTGAAATTGCTCACATAAGTGCTCAGTAAATATAACCACCTCTACCAGCCGTGTCTGTGCTTTGTGCCTTGCGTGTGATCTCTTTGTCAAGCAGTTGCTCTCCAGGGCAAAAGAGGAGCATTCCAGCGGCTCCTGGGGAGGAAGTATGCAGGCACTTCAGACTGAAGAAGGCCCAGGGCTGAGCCATCACATTGAGGGAAGGACTGGATTCGGTTGGAAGTCTGTCCTCTTCTTGGATGAAGAGTTCCGCCTGCTGGCCACCAGGTGTCAGCACCGGGCCGCGCCATGAACCAGGCGTTGGTGGACTACCTGGCTTTGGAAGACGCTCACTTTCTATCTCAGCCTCTTTCAGAGGAGGCACCCTCACCCCCTTTAGTATAGGAGGGGCCCGGGCAGCTGGCGAAAGGCCTTGGCCGTAGGGAAAACTGCCAGGAAGCGGCAGAGCCCAAATCTGATTATGAGCAGCCTAGAGAGCCTCTGCTCTCACCATGAATAAGACAAAGGCATTGCGGCTTCCTGAATCCTTTTGGCTGCATTAAAGAGGGGACCACCACTCATTTCCCCTGATGTCACTCTACAAAGATGCCACTTCCCTGGTCAGTCTCCACGAGCCGTTCTCTGTGCTTTAGACGCTTCTCGCCATTAGACATGGCACTTGACACAATACTGTGTAGTAGGTGCACAGTAGAGATGCCAAGGAGTAAATGAATTGCACGCCTTGAGCACAGGGCTCTGGCGCCAGACTGCCAGGTTCAAATACCAGTTCTCCAGGAGCTGCGTGACCTGGGACAAGTTGCTGAACACCCAGGTCTCCATCTGTACATGGGGGATAATAATGACAGTACCTGTGTCAGAGGGTGTTGAATGAAACGAGTGAATTTAGAACAGTGCCTGGCATACACTTTGATAGCTACTACATTCCTTTTTAGAAATATTTTTAATTGATCTTTTTAGAGAGAGAAAAATCGGTGTGAGGACATCGATCAACTGCATCAATCAACTGACTGGGAATGAAACCCACAACCTGGGCATGCGTCCTGACTGGGAACCAAACCAGCAAGCTTTGGTGCACAGGATGACACTCAACCAACTGCGCCACAGCGGCCAGGGGGCCACTATAGTCTTTTTATTATTATTGATTTTTTTTAGAGAGGAAGGGAGAGGGAGAGTTAGAAACATCAATGAGAGAAAAACAACAATGAGCTGCCTCCTGCACAACCCAGGTTGTGGGCTTCATCCCCAGTCAGGGGTGTTGTGCCCACAACTAAGGTACATGCCCTTGACCAGATCAGAATCGAACCTGGAACCCTTGAGTCCGCAGGCCAATGCTCTATCCACTGAGCCACATCGGCCAAGGCCACTATAGTCTTATGTATGCTGTTTATACCGTCTGAGATCCTCAATGGGGCCACGGTTCCCAACTCCCCCATGTAGCCAATTATCCTTTTCCAGGGAAGCAGACGTGGCAGGTTTAAAAAACAAACCAACCTAAAACAGCATCTCCAACCCACTTCTCTAGAACCGCTGGAGAGGAAGTCTAACCTCCTCCCCTGGAACCTGGGGCGTGTCTCCCCTGAGGTAATGCGCGGAAGCAACGCTGTGACCTCCCTGCCTGGGTCTTAAAGGGCAACGTGTCCCCTCTGTCCGCTGGAACACGCCCCTTCGGAGCTCTGAACCTCCGAGCTAGAAGCCTGCTGAGCCTGAGGCCACACGCACGGCGAGGCTGACAGTCCTGAGCTCCCGGCCAACAGCCAGCAGGTGCCACCGGGGGAAGACAGACACTTCCGAGTGATCCGAGCCACGGAATCGGCCCCAGCTTTCATAGCCAAGGCCCAGACATTGTGGGGCAGAGATGAGCCCTCGCCCTACTCCCCGCCCCTCACTATTCCTAATTCCTAACCCAGGTCTAGCCGGTGTGGCTCAGTGGATAGAGCGTGGGCCTGCAGACTGAAGGGTCCCGGTTCAGTTCCCGTCAAGGGCATGTGCCTCGGTTGCAGGTTCCTCCCCAGCCTGGGCCCTGGTTTATCTCACATCGATGTTTCTGTCTTCCCCTCTCACACTCTCGAGAAAAATATCAATGGAAAATATCCTCCGGTGAGGATTAACAACAAAAAAATTCCTAACCCAGAGAATTAGGAGAATATAGTGGCAGCTATATTATGCCACCGAGTTTGGTTATGTGCTGTTCTGTAGTAACTGGAACAGCAAATAAGATTACTAAACATATCATATACTATTCATACTGTGTGTGCCACTTAGCGATGGGAATACATTCTGAGAAATGTGTTGTCAGGCGACCTCACTGCTGTGCGAACATCACAGAGGCCCTTCCACAAACCTGGAGGCACAGCCCCCACACCTGGGCACGTGGGGTACCACGGACGTGCGTACCGCCTGTCATCCACCCAGACGTTGCAGTTACACATGTGACTGTGTACACGTCCTGTCTGTCCCTGTCCCTCCGGAAAGGACGGCTCCACGTCTGCCTCCACGGATGTGAGCCCTGACTGGCTGAGATCAGCTGTGGTTCCTGGTGCGGGCACTCCCCCAGGCTGGGTGCGGGCACACCCCCAGGCTGCGGGCTCGATCCCGTGTTCAGCATGTGGGAGGAAGTCAGTGATTCTCTTAGAATTATGTTTCTCTCTCTCCCTTCCTCTCTAAAATCATTTTTTAAAAGTGTATTTTAAAAAAGCTGATCATTTCCTGAAAAGAACTGTCTCCCAGGTCAGACCCCCGCCCTGCATCCCTGAGATATCGAGGACAGATGGACACCACCCTGCTTCCCTGAGAGATCGGGGACAGATGGACACCAGCGGCTGAAGCACGGAAGCTGCTGCCATCTTGGCCTCTGTGGCTCCATCACCCCCACGGAAGCCGCCCGGAGTGCAGCTGCGAGAAAAACCACCACATGGGCCCAGGCCAGCCACAGGGCAGCCAGCACGCTACCTTCCTGTGAGATGAGGGGACAAGGCCTGATTGTAGGGCTGGCTTGGGCTGCTAAAAACCCCACCTCAGACCCCTGGGCCCATGAAGGATTGAACAGTCAGGCCTAGAATGAGACTGAACCAGACCAAGCTGAGCCCATCACTTAAATGTCATCCTCCAAAATGTTCATCATGAGATATGATGGCATAAAAAATGTTACAATGAGCCCTAACTAGTTTGGCTCAGTGGTAGAGCGTCGGTCTGCAGACTTGGGGGTCCCAGGTTCGATTCCAGTCAAGGGCATGTACCTTGGTTGCGGGCACATCCCCAGTAAGGGGTGTGCAGGAGGCAGCTGGTGGATATTTCTCTCTCATCAACGTTCCTAACCCTCTCTCCCTCTCTGTAAAAAATCAATAAAATATATTTAGAACAAAAACAAACAACAACAAAAAAACAAAACAAAGAAGAGACAAAGTTAGATGAAAACAAACAGAATTCAAACATCAGGCAGTGGTCCCAGACCTTTCTGTATGTGGCGCGGTGTGTACGGCACAGAGTTAGAGAAAGAAGAGCTTTATTAAGGGGGGGAAGGGAACTCAGCTGCATGATACAAAGGTCCCAGCAGACCCCACAGGCCCCTTCCCTTCTGTGACCTGGCAGGGCACACTCGGGCCTCGTGTGGACCATGTGGACAGCGACGGCATCAAGGGGCTGGCTCCTTCTGCCAAGCGCGTGACAACCCGTCAGCCCAGAGGGCAGGGGCAGGAGCAGGGGCACGGCTGTTCCCACAGAACTACCCACAGGGAGCGGGGCTGGCTTTCAGGAGCCTCGTACGATACTTTATTTTAAAAGATCGGAGCGGAAGCAGTGTTGAGGCGAATGGAATGTGCCTGACTGGGGAGTCGGGTGGTAAGGGACTGGTTAGGCGTTGTAGGAAGATGAGGACACGCTGCCGCCGTGGCCGGTCCAGTTGGTGTGGATAAACTTCCCCGGGCTGGCTAGGAGTTCGTAGGTGTGAGCCCCGAAGTAATCCCGCTGAGCCTGGGAACGAGAAGAGCGGCTGGTTAGGACCACACGCAGCCCGGCCCCCAGGCCCAGCCCCCAGGCCCCGGCCCCCAGGCCCCAACACGCAGGCCCGACACGCAGGCTCCGGCCCCCAGGCCCGGCCGGCGGTGCTGCCCTCCCCCAGCCTCACCTGGATCAGGTTGGCCGGCAGTGTGTCATGTCTGTAGCCGTCGTAGAAGGAGAGCGCGGTGGTGAAGCAGGGCAAGGGGATGCCCGCCTGGACACCGGTGCTGATCGCCCGCCGCCAGGAGTCCTGCACGGGAGAGACACAGCGCCCACGGACGGGTCACTGACGCCCAGAGCAAAGCCCCCCGAACGGAACGCCCGCGCCGCCGCCCGCTGCCCACCTGGCAGCTCTCCATGGCTGACTGGAAGAAGTCGTCCAGCAGCAGGTTCTGGAGTCCCGGGTGCCGGTCAAACGCCTCCTTTATCTTTCCCAGGAAGACGCTGAAATAATCGAGAGATGAAGTCAATGAATCTTTTTTCTTCTTCTTCTTTTTCCCCTTAAGTGTTTGATTCCGCAAAGTCCAGAGAACAAACAGATAATCCCGTTATCCTGATGTTCTCTGAGTGAAGAAAATCACTTTTAATTTCCGAGGACCTGAAAGCCCAGAGCCAGGCCTGCAGGAGGACGAACGGTCATCGAGGTCTGAGTCTGAACCCGCAGGCCGAGTGCCCGGCAGAGAGCAGGGAGGGAAGCTGGGGCGGACGCACACCCTGGAGGGGTGCAAAGGGACAGTTCTCAGCCGGAGAGCTAGCTGTCAGCTCCATGAAAACAGAGCAAAGTCCCAGGAGGAAGGCCAGAGGGCAGGACGGTGCTCACAGAACTATTTTAAAAAATGTAGTGTAGGCCGAGACTGGTTTGGCTCAATGGATAGAGGCTTGGGGACTGAAAGGTTCCGGGTTCGATTCCGGTCAGGGGCATGTACCTTGGTTGCGGGCATATCCCCAGTAGGGGGTGTGCAAGAGGCAGCTGGTCGATGACTCTTTCATCAATGTTTCTAGCTCTCTATCTCTCTCCCTTCCTCTCTGTACAAAATCAATAAAATATATTAAAAAAAAAAAAATGTAGTGTAGCCTGGCTGGCATGGCTCAGCGGTTGAGCATCAACCTATGAACCAGGAGGTCACGGTTTGATTCCTGTCAAGGGCAAATGCCTAGGTTGTGGGCTCGATTCCCAGTAGGGGGTCTGCAGGAGGCAGCCAATTAATGATTTTCTCTCATCATCGATGTTTCTCTCTCTCTCCCTTCCTCTCTGAAATCAATAAAAACATATAATATATATAAGAAAAGACATCGTGTGGACAACCTAGTTAGAACTGCCGTCCAGGAAAAAGTGACGTGACCATCTACACCGGTCTTGTGGCCAGTGCCCCCGAGGGGACGAAGTGCCCGGTTTCACAGACGCCGTTCACAGCCCAGGCCTCCCTTCCCCGCCGGCAGCCCGGGTCCCGAACCCACGGACCTGCGGATGATGCAGCCGCCCCTCCACATCAGGGCGATGCCGCCGTAGTTGAGGGTCCAGCCGAATTCGGTGGCCGCCTGTCTCAGCAGCATGAAGCCTTGAGCGTAAGAGATGATCTTGGAGGCATAGAGGGCCTAGAGGACACGGGGATCAGAGCTGCGATTAGCAAAGCAGCCGCCTGCTGGCCTTCCCCAGAGCAGCGCAGGCCCCAGGACCAGCTGGACTGAGCCCACCTCCACCCCGTGGCCTCGCTGAGTCTTCTCTCCCACACCCGCCTCCCGAGGGACAAACAGCCGCTGCCAGGGACAGGCCCACCTTCCGAATGTCCTCCAGGAACGACTCCTTATCCCCACTGAACTGGGTCTTCTGAGGGCCCTTCAGCTTTTTGCTGGCCTGAACCCGCTCGTCCTTCAGGGAGGACAGGCACCGGGCAAAGACTGCTTCTCCTGCGTGGGGAGGGGACAGGGTCTGACTGCGCCCGCCCACCCACCCGAGGACACAGGACACGGAGGGGGAGCAAGAGTTTCAACGGGAAAGAGCTGGAAGCCTCAACCTGAGGCCACAACACATCAGCCGGATCAGAAAGAACTCCTACTAAAAGCTCCCCACGTCCATTCCTTCAAAACCTCCAACTGGATCTTCCAACATAAACACAGGTTTCAACCACCAAGACCAACATGGAATTCAAAAGGGGTGCTTTCAGGAGGAAAAAAGAGGTAAAACCATTATTATTCAAAATTACTGAGAATTGGTCCATGAGTAAAATTTCAATTTCAGTGGCATGGACTTATATATATATATTCTTATTGATTTCAGCAAGAGGGAGAGGGAGAGAGAGAAATATCAGTGATGAGAGAGAATCATTGATTGGCTGCCTCATGCACACCCCATACTGGGGATCAAGCCCACAACTCAGGCCTGTGCCCTGACCAGGAATCGAACTGTGACCTCCCAGTCCATAGTCAATGCTCTACCTCTGAGCCACAGCGGTCGGGGCAAGGACTTTACTTTATAAATGCTCACCAAAGACTCTATTTTGAAGTACTAACTAACATCAATTTGAAACAACTACGACTTTAAGAAGTAATTCTCAGACTCACCCTTCAAAAAACTCCGTTTTCTAATTCCTGCGCAGGCAGACCTCAGAGACCCCAGGCCGCCGCAACACGGCGAGCACTGCACTCAAGCGCGGCGTCATCTTTTTGCTGGGGGAGGGTTCTGCCGTCCATCTGTAAAAATGCAACCTCTGCCCGGGCCAGTGCTGCGGTTGTTTGCAGTGTTGTCCCGTGCACCAAAGGTTGCAGGTTCGATTCTCGGTCAGGGCATATATTTGAGTTGTGGTAAGGGCGCATATAGCAAGCAACCAATGGATGTTTCTCTCCCTCCCTTCCTTTCTCTCTAAGATCAATGAGCATAGCCTCAGATGAGGATTAAAAAATACAACATCTCAAGTGCAGTAAAAGGAGGTGTGCCTGTAGTTCGGTGTATCCATGGTAACCACCAAAGTTTCACAATGCTACTTCATTGGCATGAGAAACGTTTCAACATAGCATTTTAGTATTAAGACATTGAGAAGCTTCCAACATCAGCCCTTATAAAAACAACTTGCTCAACGGACAACTTACGCACACTGAGAGGAAGGTGTCCGTGCTGCTGCCCTGCAGTGCCACGATGAGCTGGCACTTGGGGGCGGAAGGAAGCTTTGTAAGAACTGACACAAGGAGGCGAGTGTGGCGACACCCCTCAGGGAGCCCAGGGCTGGCGGAGGACCCGCGCCCCCATTAGCTCCGCAGACAACGGCGCCCCCTCAGGGGTGGGCTCCAGCCTGCCTTCAAGCGAGGAGGGTTCCTTCTGAGACCTAACACTCATACGTTTGAGTCAGCCATCACTAAACGGCTCCCAGCTACTGCCCTCTGAGTGTTCCCACCTCTGGTGTCACTCAGAGGAGCTAAAGGCAGCCAACTTCCTCTTCCTTTTTTTTTTTTTTTTTTTTTTAATACATTTTATTGTTTTTACAGAGGAAGAGAGAGGGACAGAGAGTTAGAAACATCATTCAGCCGCCTCCTGCACACCTCCTACGGGGGACCAAGCTTGCAACCAAGGTGCATGCCCTTAACCAGAATCAAACCCCGGGACCTTCAGTCCACAGGCCGACGCTCTACCCACCGAGCCAAACCGGTTAGGGCTCCTCTTCCTTCTATGCAGAGCGGAGCCGAGCAACCTGCATTCCTCCTTAACCGAGGGTCTAACCACCACACGGTGCGTGTAACCAAGTGGGAAAAGCCGGGGAATCAAGAGGAAGGCGGCGAGCAGGGAGGGAAAGACAGCCGGTCCGCCAGGTGTCTGTGCCCGTCCCTCCTCAGAAGCCTTCCTGATCGCCCCATCCAGACCAGCCTTCATTAACATGCCGGCATGCTGGCACCTAGGCCCCCAGGGCCATCGCGCTGCCAGGTGAGACGAGGGGCCCGGGAAGGCGCAGTACCGATGAGGGTGACGGGCACGCCGTGCTCCAGCGCCGAGATGGCGGTCCACTTCCCCGTGCCCTTCTGCCCCGCGCTGTCCCGGATCTTGGGCAGCAGGTGGGTGCCGTCGCCGTCTCGGAACTTGAGGATGTCGGCTGTGATTTCAATCAGGAACGAGTCCAGCTCTGTCTTATTCCACTTCTCAAACGCCTGGTGCAAGACGTGAGAGAAGACACGATCAGACGGGAGGCTCCCTGGCGGGTCATGCTTTCCCTCGGGCAGTACTGGCCGGGGCCCTCCTCCTGCTCCCAGGCTCCTGCATGGCTGGTGCGGCCCCACGCCTGCGCTCCCGCTGAGGCGGGCGCTGACCTGTGATGCCACGTTCTGCTCACCCGGTCCTCCCCTCGGAGCGAGTGCTCCCTCCTCTCGCTCAGGTGTCTGTACTGTCACCTCAGAAGCCTTCCCTGGCTGCCGCCTAGGCCTGCCTCTCCTTATCACACGCTTGGAGCTAGTCTACTGGTCCGTGGCTAACCATGCTGCCTGCCTGCCAGCTGCAGAGGGCAGGACCCGTGTGGTTCTCTCACTGTCACACCCCAGCACTCAGCACAGCGCCTGGCGTACAGAGAGAACTCGGCACATATCCTGAAGGAACACTCTAACTAATATGTAAGCCAATTAAATATGAGCATGAAAAGAGCACTGTTTCTATGGAAACTAAGTTACATTGTTTTGGAAAGAATAATAAGGCCAAATCTGTGAAACAAGGTAAGTGAGGGCGACACAAATTTAAAAATTAGATGTACCTCCCACCTGGGACAGCGGGAGGATCAGGGAGACGGGCATGAAATGGCAGAGCTTCTGGCTCAGGGAGAACGCCTTGTTTTATGGCCCTTCATCCAGGGCTGCCCTTAAATTAGTCCAGCCAGGCCGCCGGACCCGGCGAGGAGCACGAGGACACCGGCTGCCGGCGGAGCAGCGCACGCACCTCTGCCATCTCGCTGTGTTCCATGCCCAGGACGTCCTTCATCAGGTGGTAGGCCTCGCAGATCAGCTGCATGTCCCCGTACTCGATCCCGTTGTGCACCATCTTCACGAAGTGGCCCGCTCCCTCCTCTCCCACCTGCGGGGCCAAGCACCGGCCGTCAGAGGCAGAGGACAGACCAGAAAAGCCCACATCCAGCTCTTCACAAGCCTCCCTCCCCTCACAGAGAACAAGTGGGAGCAAATATTTATGGCAGCCTACATCATAAAAGGCTAATATGCAAAGCGACCGAACGGCGGAACGACTGGCCGCTATGATACACACTGACCACCAGGGGGAGCACCGCTAAGCTGTCAGTCGGACATCCCCTGAGGGCTCCCAGACTGTGTGAGGGTGCAGGCCGGACTGAGGGACCCCTCCCCCACAGTGCACGCATGTTGTGCACCGGGCCTCTAGTTTAAAATAAGAATCAGTATATAACCACTCAATGCAAGCTCCGATCCAGTCCAATGCTAATGTAGACTGACTCCAAATTCATTCCTCTAAAGTTTTCAAAATCCCTACATTCACTGAAAGCACCTCGAGCTCTTTAGCCTGCCTTCCTGTTCTTTCTCAATGTCATGAAAAGCAACCCCCGACCCCGTCCTCCTTCCCGAGGTGACCACTCTCCTAACACTGGAGGCTACAACTTGGCCAGTGGAATCACGTACTTTTAAAAAACATGTGCATGCACTGTAGCTGTTTCTAAGGGCTGAGAGGCAAAAACAACCACAGATCCCAGGTCTGGCCCTCGGCCTGTAAGCACAGGCATGTGCTCCTGCCGGGGTCTCTGAGCTGACAAGACAGGTTTTATAACAAAGCTGGGAAGAGGTGTAACATCACAACCCGTCTCTGGATTTACAATGAGAACTTCAACTATGGTCACCCTGGTCACCAGTGACAGTCCCATCCACACTCTGTCCCTGCAGACAAGCTACTGGGAAGCCCCATCACCGGAACTGCTTAGTGGGCAAGGAACCAGACAGAGGGAGGGTCAGGGTCAAACGCTGAACGGCTTACTCTGCCGTCGCACGCACCCATCGCCTGGCCGGGCGGCCTGCCCGGGGACCAGCCGCCTGGGTGACCGAGCAGCCTCCGTTGGAGGCCTTCCGCTGTCTGGTTCCACTGCTGGCCTCCCCCTCTCATTTGGACACTTTGTGGCCGTGAAGCAACATGGCTGATAACACCTTGCTTCACCCCATCCTTCCTGTAACTTCAAAAGTGAAGGGCAGTCCCTGCCCGGTGTGCACACCCGCTGCCAACACCCTGAGGCTGAGCCACGGAATGAAGATCCGTGAGAGCAACTGCTGCTTTTTGTTCCTGATCTTCTGTGTCCAATGCAGTTACTGTCACTGCACTTGCATTGTGAGCACTCACTCTGTGGCCGAGGAATGAAAGCTCCTTCCCAATCCTTCGCACTAAGGAGAAAATGAGTCAACACTCCAAATCGCAGCTTTGGCTCTCCCGCTCCTACGCGGAACGTGGTTAGGTCCAATGCGCACTGGCTACTCTGTAAGGACCAGTTCCATGCTTGGCTGAGGTCACCGGCACGGCCGGCCCAGGGGTCAGACTTCCCCCCTTCCTCACCGGCCTCAGACCTCGTTCCGCCTCTACCTTCAGGCACATACAATAATCTATGCAGGGCCAGTGGGCTCAGTGGTTGCATGTTGACCTAGGAGCCAAGTGGTCACCGGTTCGATTCCTGGTCAAGGCACATGCCCAGGTTGAGGACTCAATCCCCAGGGGACAGCCAATTGATGATGTTTCTCTCTCGTCGATGTTTCTGTCTCTCTCTATCCCGCTCCCTTCTTCTCTCTAAAAGTCAATAAAAGCATTTTCTAAATAAAAAATCTAATATAATAAAATAGCTCACACGGTGCTGATATAAAATGAAAAGAAAGGGATGAGGAGCTAGAGACCTTGAGACCATCCAGGCCAGGCCGTGATTGACGGGGGAGGAGGCGGAGCCTGGTGGGGACAGGGAGCTGGCGCTGATGGAGCCAGAGCCACAACTGGGGGCTCCGGCCTCCTGTTTCCTCATCCACGTGGATGACACGCAGGAAGGGACACAGAGCGCAGCCGGAGTGGGGAGGGGCGCCCAGCGCTGCGCCCTTGGGGTGGAAGGCCGGCTGCTGCACAACGCAGAACACCCACAGGGCGAGCCCGCCTCGCTCTGGTTTTGACACCCTTCCTCAGCCATGACGAAACACGGCTAAGAAATCTACTTCACCCCATTCTTCCTGCCCTTTCTAAGGAACCCATCTCTGGGTGACTCGGGAGGGCTGCTTGTATTATAACCTCAGGTTATGAACGGCCTGTCAGATACAAGGTCACGTGCAGCAGACATGCCTTCAGGCATCAGCTGTGCCAGCGGCTCAGGACCGGGTTCCCCAGTAAAGCCAGCCGCTGGGACCCCGGCGCCCAGGCCCGGCGGCGTGGAGGGACCCGCACTTGCCCAGTCACAGCAGGGCTCTCCGGTTCCCACTTTCGCGGCGATGCCCTGGAAGATGGTCTTGATGTGGGGCCTGTGGAGAGAGAGCGGGTCAGCTGCTGGGGAGGGGCTGAGGCCCAGATTAAACACTCGAGGTGCGCCCCCCCCCATTCCGGACGGTGGGAGCCCCCGAGAAAGGAACCGAGTGGCCAGCGCTCCAGGTAAACTGGTCGGAGGCTGCAGCCACAGGGGCTGCCCAGAGACCCTGTGAGGGTCAGGGGCACAGGGGCCCCGCGGTGTTCCCAGGAGCCTGTCACCCTTCGTCCCGGAAAAGCGGGGCTCCCCACACGTCCAGCCACCGTTCCGATGCTCCCCAGCAAAGGGCTTGGTAAAGGCACAGGTGACAGGGCAGGACATTAACACCCAGGGTGAGAGGAGAAGGCAGTGACACTCTGGACCGTGGGCCTCACTGATCGCTCCCTGTTGAGGTAAAAGCGCCCCCTCTGCCCCCGCCAGCGTGAGGGTGAGCCTGCGCCGGGGCCTCTGCTGTCACGTGTCCTGTGTGCTGTCCTGTCTGCACCCCGATGGCCGCTGAGCCCAGAGAAGGGCGTTCAAGCTTCTGAGAAGCAGGAAGCCTCCGGTCTAGATCTCACACAGAGAACCTCCGACTTCCTGAGCCGAGAGGAACTTACAGACCATCTTCCCCGTGAAGCCTTCCCCTTAGTGCCTGGCACAGCTCTGGGGTCTTTGGACACAAACTAAGGCACATTCTGGTCTAAGGCACGTAGAATTGGTTACCGCACCGCTTCACCCGGCTGCGCTCTCCTGCTCGCCGCCCCCACCCCATGTCTTAATCTCCCTTCTCTTCCGTCCCGAGACCCCCCTTCGTGGCCGCCCCTACCTCTCCTACCCAGCACAGTGAACAGCGTAAAACCTGTTTTTTCCAAGTCAGAGAAAACACTCCCACTCCATTCCCAGGGACAGGAGAGGCCCCGGCAGATTTTTCCATCCCTCGCTATTATTAAATCAAGTTATTTTAGGAGCGTCCATCAGTTAAGGAGGCAGATCAGACCCTAAATCCACAGAGTGCAAAGGAATTCCACCTAGCGGCTTCCTTAAAGCCTCTGGCCCTTTAAGTCTACTTAGAACCTCACGGTCAGTCTTGGCGGGAATAACAGGAGAGAAAAGGGCAAAGGAGGAATGTGCACACGTGTTTTGTCAAAGCAACAGAATGTGCACACGAGGAATTGGCAGCATCTCCCACTGCCAAGCGCAGTCCTCAAAGGGGCCAGGGCTCCGCAGGCCCCACGTCCAGCCCCGTTCGGAACGCGGCCGGCGCTGGGCACTCACCAGGCGGCTTTGTTCCCTCCGGGCATGAGCGAGGGGCCGTGCCGGGCACCGTCCTCTCCGCCACTGACGCCGCTCCCCACAAACAGGATCCCCTTGGCCTTGAGCTGTTGGCATCGCCTCTAGATGAGAGAAAAACAACTTCTTACGCTTCCTTAGAGCAGGGTTCTCCCAAAGAGGGAGAGCAGGGTGACAGGTAAGGAGACCCAGCATCTGACGCGAAATGACGCCCCGATCCGAGCATCACCTGGTCGTCAGAGAAAGGCGATCCCCTCGGTTTGGGAATCAAAAGAAAACCCATGGAAGGGGACAGCTACCCTCTCCCCAAAGAGGGAACCAAGCCCGACACGCTCACGGTCCTGGGAAATCCTGGCCGGATCAGACCGGGGCTGGGCGGACTGCCCCTGCACAGCACCAGCGCTGGTCCTCGCCCTCGCTCCGTGCTGACGGTCACGTGCAGGAGGAGGAGGGGGACGCTAACCGCGAACCCTGACCGGCTGCATCGAAGCAGCAGCATCGAGTGACCAAGCACGTCTCCTCGGCCACCAAGCACGTCTGAGCAGAAACAGGCTGACGACGCACAGAGCCGGCACCCGGAGGACAGAAGGCCTCGGGGGCAGTGCTGGCACCTTTCCCAGAAGGCCCGGGCCTGGGAGGCTGCACTGAGGGTACTTACCGTGGTGTCCCTGTATTCGGAGTTCCCCCCATCGATGATGATGTCACCAGGTTCCAACAGCGGGACCTGTAACCAGGCATCAGCGTTAGGGGGACACAGACAGGAAGACAAAAGCAACAGGCCATCCCTCAGCCAACTCAAACCCGCCAGGATTTACCCACTTCCCCGGCCTGAAAGTATGACTATTTACTCTCAATAACGCTCCTCTGGTTAGAACCTGTTAAAAGCTGAGGGCTAGAAACCGGTTTGGCTCAATGGATAGAGCGTCGGCTTGGGGACTGAAGGGTCCCGGGTTCGATTCCGGTCAAGGGCATGTACCTTGGCTGCGGGCATATCCCCAGTGGGGGGTGTGCAAGAGGCAGCTGATCGATGACTCTCTCTCATCGATGTTTCTAGCTCTCTATCTCTCTCCCTTCCTCTCTGTACAAAAACAATAAAATATATTTAAAAAAAAAAAGCTGAGGGCTAGCCTAGCCGATTTGGCTCAGTGGATAGAGCCTGTGGACTGAAGGGTCCCTGGTTCGATTCAGGTCAAGGGCACATACCCAGGTTGTGGCCTCAATCCCCAGTAAGGGGCGAGCAGGAAACAGCAGATGATTCTCTCTCATCACTGATGTTTCTAACTCTCTCTCCCTCTCCCTTCCTCTCTGAAATCAATAAAAATATATTAAAAGAGAGAAGAAAAAAAAGCAGAGAGCAAGCAAACCTGCCAGAATTCCCTTGGCTTCCTCAGGGCTGTAACTGCAGAACTGGTTTTCAGTATCTGAATAAATTCTTCCACCAGTTTCCCTTCATCCGGGAGTTTTGAGGGAAAAGCAGGCCCTGGCAGGGCACTGGCAGTGAGGCTGCCTCCGTTTATTGTAGCAGAGAAAAACCCCCATTAATGGGAGAGGTGGAGCTGAAAGAAGGAGCCCTGGGGATCCCACAAACAGCTCAGTGACAGGGCTTCGAGCAAGAACTGCTGGTGCCCCGTCGGCAGCTCCTCTGCCACTGGCTCCCAAGGAGGCAGCGGCCGTCAGTCCTTCGGGGGGAACAGCCAGCCAGCCAGCATGACACAGACGGTGATGACCACCCACAGGAATGCCCACTTCCCAGCCCTGGGGGCGGGTGGAGGAAGCCCCCATGAGGCATCAGATTAAGGAACCAGGCGTATCTGACACCTCCCTCCTCGGCGGATGCCCAGGGACCAGAGCCAGAGCTGAGGCCTGCCTCCCGCCCCCGGGGCCGCAGCACGAGGCAGCACCCACCTGCCCAGCATGGCCATCAGGCAGATGCAATCTGTTTTCCTCCAAAAAGGATACACTTCCTAGAGCCAACCAACTGTTTGCTACAAAAATAAGTACCAAGGTGCAGTTCCTAGGACCCCAGGGGGTCTCCTGTCACATTAAATCATACAACTTAGAAACATAAAATCTAGTTCTAAATGTGGACACTAGGGCTTCTTAGTGAATAGCACTAAACATTCATAACTCATAATCAAAACTAAGTGTTTTTGAATATCAAAGACAGAGCCCAGCGCCATCACCACAGCCCGCACTGCACACCGCCACTTCGGTCAGACGGACCACTTACACTCCACATACATTACGGTGGTCCCGTAAGATGATGATGGAGTGGAAAACTCCTGGTGATGTCGTAGCCGTCTTGACATCATACACAACTCGTAGCTCATGTGTTTGTGCTGAAGCTGGTGTAAACAGATGTGGGCTGCGGCCGTATAAAAGCACAGCACATGCAATTATGGGTACAGTACATATTTGATAATGATAATGAGCGACTATGTTACTGGTGTGTATACTTATTGTACCACACTATAATTATTTTATAGTTTACTCTTTCTACTTATTAAAATGTTTGCTGTAAAAAGAGTAGGCTGCTACACCAGCAGCCTCAGACCCCTCCTGTCTCTGGATGGCAGCCTGGTCTCTTGTGCTTGACTTAACCTCGTGCCGTTTGGTGCCGTAACGTGCTCTCCAGGCTTGGAGCTAGGAGCACGAGGCTGGCTCACAGCACTGCTGAGTGGTAGACTGCCCACCTCGGTTTGTGTAAGCGCACTGTCATGTTTGCACAAGGATGAGATTGCCTAACAACGCATTTCTCAGAACGTGCCCCTTCGTTAAGTGGCACATGGCTGCATGACTTCTACTCTTGTCAATGGGCTTTTATCCACTGTCTCTTGTCCTCAGAATTTTACATACTTAGTGCCAATCAAGCTAACCAACACAGAGACGTTTAAGCAATTATCTGTCAGAACTGAGCAGCTCGTAGTCAGAACCTGAACGGGGTGGGGGTCTCTTAAGTAAAACGTGAAGCCGCTAACGGAAAGAGTGAGAGGCCGGCCTCACCAGTTTCTCAATGAAGTCGTCCACGGCCAGGCCGGCCTTCACCAGCAGCAGGACTCGCCGTGGCTTCTTCAGCTTGGACACCATCTCCTCCAGGGAGTGCGCGCCGATCACCTTGGTTCCCTTCGCCTCTTTGGCCAGGAAGTCATCCACCTTGGAGACCGTCCTGTTAAACGCACACACCTGAGGGCACAAAAAGCTGATGAGGAGACCGAGGGCGGGCAAGGCCCAAGTGACACCGAAATCTCTATTCAGCCCGGGGTTCTGGGAAGCTGAGGCCCCGCCTCTGCCTTTCCTCGCCAAGTTCATCTCAGTGGATGGAACGGCAGAGACCTGAATACGGGTGTGGCAAAAGTAGGTTTACAGTTCTTCCTATGGAAAGTAATACAGTAATTAACAAAATAACAACACGCTGTGTTTGGTGCACTCACAGCTGTAAACCTACTTTTGCCACACCCTGTACAAGTAAAAGTCAACCACTCATGGCATTTCAGGCTAGAGTCTAGCTCCGTGGTCGGCAAACTGTGGCTCTTGAGCCATATGCAACTCTTTGGCCCCTTGAGTGTGGCTCTTCCACAAAATACCAACAGCCTGAGCGAGGCTATTTTGAAGAAGTGGCGTTAGAAGAAGAGTAAGTTTAAAAAATTTGGCTCTCTTGCTGAAACCGGTTTGGCTCAGTGGTAGAGCGTCGGACTGCAAACTGAAAGGTCCCAGGTTCGATTCCGGTCAGAGGCATGTACCAGCAGGGGTGTGCAAGAGGCAGCTGGTAGATGTTTCTCTCTCATCGACGTTTCTAGCTCTCTATCTCTCTCCCTTCCTCTCTGTAAAAAATCAATAAAATATATATATTTTTAAAAACTGGCTCTCAAAAGAAATTTCAATCATTGTACTGTTGATATTTGGCTCTGTTGACTATTGAGTTTGCCCACCACTGGTCTAGCTGGTTAGAATGCAAATCTAAGAGCGAGCTGGTTCCAGACCGACAGCTTTGGTCACTGATAATCCTTGTGATTAAGTCCGTTTAATATTTGCCCCTGAACTTTTCACTATCCCGACCTCCTTAGGTGCCAACGTTAGAGCTCTACACAGCCAGCAAGGTTTCTCCCCCCTGAGACACTGGCAGGATTGTCCAGGTTGCAAACCTTACAGAACTGACGGAATCATGCGCAGGACGCTTCTTCCTCAGGGACTAGGGGAACTGGCCCTGCCACAGCCCCATGGAAAGCCTCGGCAGCCACAGAGCGGACAGGAGAGACAGGCGCCGGCTTCTCGGGGGGCCTCTGCCATCGGCAGGTCCCCAGGGCTCAGGCTAACGCACACCCAGAACCTACAGGAGGAGAGCGCGTCCCAGGTGGCTTACCACAAAGCCGTGGTCGTTCATGTTCAGAATGAGGTTCTGGCCCATGACGGCCAGTCCGATCAGTGCAATGTCCGCTCTGAAAGGTCCGGGGAAGGAACGAGAAAAATGTGTCAGCTCCACTCAACCCACTCCAACTCGGGGACCCCGAGATCTCAGCTCCGCTGTCCCCCAAGGAACTCCCTTTTGCACTTTAGAGCCCGGGCGCGCAACCGGCCAGGAAGCCAGGCCACCACGCCCACTCCGGCTCAGCGCGGGGCCTCGGGTCCCCGGGGATCGCCCAACGGGGAGGTCGCCCAACGGGGAGGTCGCCCAACGGGGCACGGAGGAGGGTGCCAGCACGTGAGCCCCAGTCCGCCTGTAAGGGCGGCCCAGGGCCCGCCTCCCAGAGGAAGAGCCCCGGAGCAGAGCCGCGGGCCGCCAGCCCCCTCGTTCCCCTCCGGCCGGTCCCCGGTCCCCCTCGGCCATGCCTGCCCCCCCCGCCCCCCTCTTCCAGCACCGGGGACCCTCCCGGCGCCCGCGCCAAGCCCAGGAGCGGAGCGCCGGTCCCAGGGAAAGGCTGCCGCGGGGCGGGCCCGGGAGTTCGGGCCCCGCCGGAGGGGCTGGGACCCCGGCGGCCTGGGCTCCGGGCGCCACGAGGCCGGCCTCAGGCGACCCCCGGTGCCGAGGCGACGTCGGGGCGGCTCCGCCCGCCGAGCCGGCTCTCGGCCCGCTCCGGCCCCCGCGGCCGTCACTCACTGAGCCATGGCGGCGCGGACCCGGCGGCGGAGAGGCGGGGAGAGCGCGGGGACGAGCGGCTCCGGCGACCGAGTGAGCTCCGCCGGGGCTGCCTCCCGAGGCCACGGCGCGGCTTTCCGGAACTGGCCAATCGGAAGGAAGGGGCGGGGTTATACGGACACGCCATTGGCCCTCGCAGGCGCCTGTTACACCACCTGAGGCAACGGCCACGCCCACTCCCGGGCAGACTCGGGAGAGCGCCGAGCGCATCGATGGCGTCGCCCCGGGTGCGCCCCGCAGGGCAGAGGGCTGGGTGCGCCGCAGGGCGGGGGCGGAAGGGGGTGTGGGGGGCTGGGCGCGGGCCGGGGTGAGGGTGCGGGGACAGGGCAGGTGGAGGGGCTGCGCGGAGCCGCCCGCGGTGGACAACAGCAGAGCCTGCGTGCAGGATGGTGGGTCAGGTGGGGCCGCGCTTTCCAGTGTCCCAGGCACTTGGACGCCTGGTGCCCGGATGTCCATCGCTCCTTCTCCCATCGCTTATGCTTCCTATGGCTCACCTCCGGGCAGGGACCGAGGTCTCACTAACTGGGCTTTGAGCCGGTGACATGGGTGCCGGAAAGGCTGGTCCTGTCCGCGGCCCCTTTTGCAGGTGCGCAGAGAGCCTGCGGGGACGTGCTCGGTGGGGGTGACGGGCAGGTCCTTGAACCAGAGGCCAGGGGAGGCGAGCCGCCAGCCCAGGGCATTTCCCGCAGGCCCTCTCACTAGTCCCCGGTGCCAGGCACCTTGACCCCAGCCCGGAACCTAAGGCCCCCAACTTCAGGCTTGGGAAGGAGGCTTGGCTCCACCAGTACTTTTTAGGGTTTTGTTTTTCTTCCTATCGCCTGACAGGTGCTTGCACAGGAGCGCTCAAAGGACATTTAATTGCAGAAGCCACACAGTTAGTTCAGGGCTGGTGAAGGGCCCAGTGGTGACCCGTGCAGTTGGTGCTGTTTCCATCACACCAATGCACAGGCTGCTGTGTAATACAGGTTTTAACACGTACATGTTAGCAAATGTCACCACGATAGCCGTTTTGTCCTGTTGGAAGTGACGGGGTTAAACACAGTAACAATATTTTTTAATACAATAATGGAATGTTACTCTGAGATTTTACGATGATACCACAATCTACATTACCTTGTAAACATTTTACGTTCGATCTTCTTCACTAGAGATTCTTTACATAAGCTTGTTCTTTCCCTGGTGTTGCTTCCACATTTGCCCGTTTGGTACCAGCCACGCCTCACACTTCTTTTCTTTTTTATAACCCCTCCCTCCATGTCCTCATTTGGGATCATGGACTGTGGTTGACTCACTGAACGGACAGCCAAGTGGGGCCCATGTGAGGGCAGAACTTCCTCCTGGGGGGGGGGGGAGCGGTCCCTTTATTTTGGGTCCTTTTCTTCATTCTGCTTGCTTTTTACTGGGTGCAGAAATGGAGAGCTGTGAGCAAACCCAGAAATTATTATTATTAATATTATTAAGCTGCGTTAAGTCAACATTCATTAGATTTGCAAAATTGTTAAAAATACCACTGATCTCACTGAATTTCCCTTTGTTTTGGAAAACTTATTCAAAAGGGTATCGACCTGCAGAAAGAAGGGTCCCAGGTTCAATTCTGGTCAAGGTCATTGTACCTCTCTCATCGATGTTTCTCTCTATTCCTTTCCCTTCCTCTCTGTTAAAAAATCAGTTTTGATTTTTTTAAATGGCAACTGTTGATAGGTATAATGTACACAAGCAAAAGCTCTTTGGGCCCGCAGCCATCTTTAAGTGTGTGCAGAGTCCTGAGCCCCACCAGGTGAGAGCCGCTGATCTAGGCCAGCGCTCGGTGTTAGAGCCGAGGAGACGGCTCTGTGGGCCGAGGCTTGCTGAGTCACAGGCTGAGACACCAGAACCGCCCTCCGGGACGGATTAGGTGCTGGCCAAAGTCCCTCTCAATAAATCATGGGGTCCAGCCCGCCTTGGTGCTAGGGCAGCTGGTTATCAGAGTCGGATCAGATGGCTTCGCAAATGATCGAGAACACCCTTTCCGGAAGCTGCCTGGTGGACAGGGAAGGGAATGGGCTTTGCTATCGCACTGACAGCTGGCTCCAGCTTCATGTCTTTCTAGCTGTGCGACTTGGGGCAAGTTATCAAATCTCTTTCCTGGTCTATAAAACAGGAATGGACAAACCTCACAGGGTAGCTCTAGGGTTCAAGGAAACAGAAACTTGCTTGGTACTTAGTACCCACATAGTAGTTTCTGTCTTTATATATATATTTTATTGACTTCAGAGATAAGGAGAGGGAGAGAGAGAAATATCAGTGATGAGAATTATTGATCGGCTGCTTCCTGCTCGGTCCCCATTGGGAATGGGACCTGCAACCCGGCCATGTGCCCTGACTGGTACCAAACCCTGACCTTGTGGTTCATGGGTCAATGCTCAACCGCTGAGCCACCCTGGCAGGACTGTTTCTCTCTTTTTCATGGAAAGGACTCAGAAAGGAGAGACGTAACTGTAGTGGAAATTGGGATTGAACCCAATGGCTCCTAGGCTTCCTTGTGGAACCTGGAGCGGGACGAGGACTCTGCAGCCTCCTGCCCAGCCTGAGTGGTTACTATCATCCCCGCTAAGACTGGTGAGGAAAACGGCCCATGAATTGGATTGTTTGCTGTAGAAAATACTCCTATTTGACAATGATGTAGCCATGAATTTTGCTATGTCTTTCTAATCCAAACACAATCATCCCATGTCTTATCCTCTTCCCCCTGGCCATTACCTTCTGTGCTGCACTAGCACATCCTATTAAAAATTGTACACTACCCCCCGCTTCGCCCCCCGTGCATTCCAATACAATGTCTGGGAACACTCGCTTCAGTAGGAGCTTGAGTCCATGGAGGTTGCCCACTGTGACTTGTAGTATTTCTTGTAGGGCAGGTCTGCTAGCACTATTTTTCTCAATGTTTGTTTGTTTGTTTGTTTTTTGTTATTGTTGTAAATCAGGGAATGCCTTTATCTTGCCCTTATTTCTGAAGTATGGTTTTGCTGGATACAAAACCCCTTGGTTGACAGTTTTTTCTTTCAGCGCCTGTGTATCTCCTGTCAGTGGTGATGGCTTTCTGTTTCTGTTGAGCAGTCAACCAACTACACTGTCATTCTTTGATACGAGATGCATTGTTCTTCTCTTGCTGTTTTGGAAACTTTCCCTTGGGTTTCCAGAAGTTTCTGATGGCTGTGTCTAGGTGTGGATCTCTTTGTGGTTACCCTATTGGGATCCATAGAGTTAGAACTGTAATATCCTGCAACACATTTAGAAATTTTAAGCCATTAATTCTTCAAATAATTTTTCTGGTCTTTCTCTCCTCTTGAATGCCCACTTCACATGTTGGCACTGAGTTCAGACACTTTATTGTCATGTGTGTTTTTAGCTTGGCTTCCTGAGAGGTGCCTGGTGTCTCCTTAACTTAGCTGCCTCCGCCTGTGTCTGTGCGCTGGGAGCTGCACTCTCAGCTCCCCCACGTGTCCGGTTCCCTGGCTGTCTTCCGGCTGCGCTTTCTGGAACCTCCCTGGCACCCGTAGTTTCCCGTCGGCCAGGAGAGCTTCTCTAGTCCTCCCGTGCTCTCTCGTTTCCAGTCTCCCTGTAAGATTTCTGACTAGTCTGCTGCTTGCCCAACTGAGACCTCAGGTGAGCAAGCTGGGGGGTTTCTTTTTTCTTTTCTTAATATATTTTTATTGATTTCAGAGAGGAAGAGAGAGGGAGAGAGAGATAGAAACATCAATGATGAGAATCATGGATCGGCTGCCTCCTGCACATCCCCTACTGGGAATCGAGCCCATAACCTGGGCATGTGCCCTTGACTGGAATAGAACCCAGGACCCTTCAGTCTGCAGGCCAAAGCTCTATCCACTGAGCCACAGCGGCTAGGGCTATGCTTCTTTTTTGCAGCGAGCCTTCCCTATTCCCTTCCTACTGCCATAGCGAGCACGCCCCCTCTGGCACCGTTGTTTTGTCTGCAATGAGGCCATCAGTGCACCTGGGAGTGAGTGGTCAGAGGCTGGGGCTTCTCGGAAGGCACTGACCAGGGGCCACACGGACACAGATTCTGAGCTGGGGGCTGCCTCCTCTGTCACCGATTCCTCTTCCACAAGCCGATCCAGCACAGCCCAGTAGCCAGTGAGAGGCCCGGAATCAGACAGAGCAGGAGAAACTTCAGGAAGGACAGGTGGATGGAACCACCCAAGCCCCGCCATTCTCTAGGGGTAAGCCTGCAGGCTCCGTGCTGCAGGGATTCCGCCTCCCTCCGGTCCATCCGGCCTCCTTCCTCCCATCAAAAAGAGCTAC